TCTTTCATGGGATTTTTTTTGTACCAGTCAGTCAGGTTTTCCGGGGAAAAGTGAACATGTGAGTAAAATTAATTTGACTCTAATTTTCTTCTTTCCTGTTCTAATTTTCCCCGTCTCTAATCTCCGTTCCTGCTCTCATTTTCCCCGTCTCTAAATTTCTCCGTTCTCATTTTCCTCGTCCCTAGCTGCTCTCCTGATATACTCGTCCTAATTTCTAACCTCTGCTTTTACTATAGTCTTCCCAATTTTTTGCTCATGAAAAAAATTATCAAACTTAGGGCACCTAGGTCCATGTACTATCACCCATTTTATTAATTTTTCTTTTTCAGAATATACAGAGAGATGACGGCGAGCTCGATGGTTTTACTACCTGTTGTATTCAGAACCTGTACATTACGTTACATGTAGATATATAAATTGGTGCCTAATAGTACCAGCAAATGGAGTTACAGAAATATACAAGTTTTTATTCTTTTCAATTTTTCGTTGTGAGGAAATAACGTTGCGTATTGTCAGATCAGGTATATAGCCCTGGCTCCAGGGAAGGACGTGCGTAGGTTTCAGAGATGTAGAATTAAATGGGTAGAAATACCTATGGGGAGGGGTATGATTATACTATCGGAATAACAAGCAATCTCAAAGAATTGTGATCCCCCGCTTTTGGTGTCTTAGTGGTTTGGATGCAATGAATTTATAGCATATTTTAACTGTCTTCAAGTTCATGATAAGTCAAAAATTGATATACCTTTCTGAGAGGTGTCATAAGTAATGTACATGTAAAATATGAGAGCCCTATCTTCTCTCATTCAAAAGTTCTTACTAATGTTAAAAAAGAAAGAAAGAAAGAAAAAAATTGTAGGTAAATCTTAAAGGTTAAGGTCACGAGGTCAAAAGCCAGAGTACAGTAACATTCTGAAAGGTTTTGAAACAGGTAATGCACATGACATATAAATGTCCTATCTTCTTTTATTCAAAAGTTTAAATTTTAGAAAAATAGGTAAAACTTCAAGGTCAGGTCATGGGGTTAAAATTCATAGTATATATGGATGGGTCTTGCCACAGGTAATGCACATGTCTAGTATGAATGCCATGTCTTCTCTCAATCAGAAGTTAGCAGCAATGAAAACAATTATGAAAATTAGGACAAACTACAAGGTCACAGGGTCAAATATCATGGCACATTCTTCGCATGGGCAATGCACTTGTTAAATATGAAAGCCCTATCATCTCTTATTCCAAAGATATACTCAGTAACCAATGTGAAAATTTTTGAAAATAAGGTAAAACTTCAAGGTCACAGGGTAAAAATATAAGCATATTCAAAAACGTCTTGTCACAGGTAATGCACATTTCAAATACGAATGATTCAAAAGTTATAATCAATGTTTAAAGTTTTGAAAAGAAGGTCAAAAAACAAGGTCAAACTCTTAGTTATGAATTCTGCCATATGCCTGCCGCATGTATGTACACCTTATGTACCTTACATTGACTCCAGTGTACATGCCAAGTTTAGTGAAAATCTACCTCTTGGTTATTTATTAGGGACCATCTCAAAATACAGGTACATTTACTATAGTATTATATAGGAAAATACCATTTTTTCGCACTTCGGATCCGGAGCATATTATGCAAATGCTGCTATAAACTTTTTGCTCAAATTATGTTATTTGATGGTAATACTATATTATACATTTTATGCAAACACAAAATTCTGCCGTCTGGTTTCCAGAGGGGGTATCTCAAAATGTTAAAATTCATGATATTTTCCTGTTTTTATGGAGTACAAGAAAACATGACAGATACCACTGATTTACATAAAAAGTAATAAAAATGATTGCGAGATCCTCAATTTTCTACGTTTAAAATTTCAAGAACATCTATTTTAACTTTTTATTTTATGACATAATTAACGAACCCGCGAAAAGAACTTCGGTTTTTCATTACGTCAAAAACACACCATTACGACGTCTACCTACCCATCATTTGAAATATCGTTTTAAAATCAGTTATTTAAAAATGTAATTAGATTTTTTTAACCTGAGATTTCCTAAATTTATTAATTTTTATGAATTATGTAAAAATAGTTGCTTTAAAAGAGTAAATATGCTTTTACTTTACTATGCTGCGCGAAGTATCGCGCAGTGAAAACCCCAGTCGGCCCCCTTAAAACTCGGTTCTGAATTTCGAAATAGAGAGGGTAACAGACCAAAGAATTTGGTAATACTACCTTACATTTATGAAGCTGACGTGTGCAAAGATCCATTTACACTCAAAGACATTTTGGCGAGTTAAAACTTGTCCATTCTCAGCGATCGTTCAAAGCCTCGTCTATTCTGTTTCTGTGTAAATATTTAGAGACCATAATGCATTTTTACGATGAAAATTAAGAATATATATTACCGCGGTAGTATCTCCCACATTTCATGAAAGTCTCTAAGATCCTTCTATGATCTTTCCAGCAGACGTTAATGTCTTAAAAGATCCTCAATACCGTCTCCATTTATTTTACTTTCATACATATATTACAGGCCCGTAGGAAGCAATTTCAGTTTGGGAGGGGGGGAGGCACAGCCATACATTTTTCAGTTGACAGTTGAGGGGACACTACCAAAAATTTCCTGACAAGCAGAAAAAAAGTCATCAACTACCTGATGGGGGCTCTCAGGGGAGAGGGGTTACCGAAACCTGGGTTTTCTGCGAAGTAAAGACTTTTCACGTTTTGAATTATTTTTTAAACGCGTTCTAAACTATAATGAAACACCTGGTGAAAAATTGATTTAAAACAGAAATTGAAACAAAAGTTGAAAGTATTAATTTAGTACAAAGACATATATAATTAATTTATTTTCTAAGTAAAACTTTTTCACTTTTCAGAAACTCTAAAATTTTAGTGAGGCATTTGCCTCATTTGCCTCAATGGTAGTTACGGCCTTGACAGTGACAAGAGAAAGAAGCATTTTGATTCCAAGATCAAGGATAAAAAAAGTTATAGATGTAGCAAAGTTTTGGACGCACTTAAAAAACACAGATCTTAAATTTCAGTTTCGCACTTGCAACAGAGATGCAGAAAGGCCAAAAAGGAAACCTACCGCATGACTCCTAGGTTAACTAGTCAAAACTCTAAGGCAGTTACAAAAGTTTTATACAATCTAACGACCGTAATGTGAGGATTTGTTTCCATACATTACTCTGAGTTGCTAGTCATATTTCTAAGTTTGGGACAGTGACAAGATTTGCGTTATAAACAAGCATTTCTTGGAAATTCTTGCCATTGTAATAAAATTCAAGGCCCATAATTCTTCAAGTTATATATATTTTAATATAAAGTAATATCTTCATCTACCTGCCTAGTTGTCTGTCCTTGAAATTTTTTATGCCCCCGTAATCGAAGAATCGGGGCATATAGTTTTGCCCTGTCCGTCCGTCTGTCTGTATGTCCGCAAAAACTTTAACTTGCCCATAACTTTTATTGGTTGGAGCTATAGCTTTCATATTTCACATGTTTATTCCTTGTGACAAGACCTTTCTTTGGGTACCAACATATTGACCTCTTGACCTTGGAGTTTGACCCACTTTTGCAAAATTTTACCAAACTTTAATCTTGGCCATAACTTTTGAACAGTTTGTGCTAGGTCTTTCATACTTCACATGTTTATTCCATGTGACCTTTCCTTCGGTAGAAATACTTTTGACCTTGGAGTTTGACCCACTTTGAAAAAAACAAACTTTAACTTTGGCCATTACTTTTGAATGGTTAGTACTAGGGTTTTCATACTTCACAGGTGTATGACAATACCTTCCCTTGAAAGTCAAAAAATCTGACCCTTTGTCTTTGGAGTTAGACCTAATTTTAAAAACTGGTCATAACTTTTGAACAGTTGGTGCTATGGCCTTCATATTTCAAATGTGTATTCCTTGTGAAAATATCCTTCCTTGGGTACCAACAGCTTTGACATGTTGTGCTTGACCTTAGAATTTAACCTACTTTTAAAAAGCTAAAATCTTGGCAATATCTTTTGAATGCTTAGTGCTAGGGCTTTCAAATTTCTCAGGTAAATTTCTTGTGACAAGTCCTTCCCTTGGGCACCAACAGTTTTTACTTTTTATCTTTAACCTTGAAGTTTGACGTACCTTTGAAGAACTTTAACCTTGTCCATAATTTTTGAATGGTTGGTGCTAGGACTTTCATATTTCACATGTGTATTTTTTGTGACAAGACTTCCCTTGGCCACAATTAATTTTGACCATTTGACCTTGACGTTTGACTTACCTTGAAAAAACTTTTAACTTTCGCCATAACTTTTCAACCGTTGATGCTAGGGCATTCATATTTCACAGGTAAGGCCTTTCTTTGGGTACCAAAAGTTTGAATCTCGAGACCTTGGAATTTTACTTGCATTTGAGAAACTGTAACCTTCGCGATAAGCTGCCATACAGGGCACCAGTGTTTCATAAGCATATCTTGTTTTAAATTAATTCAAGTATTTTTTATCCTTCAATCTTTTTTTCCCCTCTTTTGCCCAGAGGATAGTCAAAGGTAAAGTGCTACAGACCTTAAAGTCATAGTTTACCCAATATCTGGAGAATGTTGGGGTTTTAATGATTTCGCATAGCTTCTTAATTTTGATGTTTTTAGATTCAAATTAATTTGTTTATGATAAAATTATAGTAAATTAATATTTATTTTGGGGGATTTTTAAACTTATTTTTTATTTGAGTTTCAGTGTATATTTAAAAGTAAAGATTTGGGGATAATGAAAAGAAAAATTGCTGGTTTGATAGGAAAAAAATTGTGATTATTATGAATTTTAGCATCAATATAACCTCTACAAGCTGTTTTACAAATTTTTATAGCAATTTTTTGTGTATCTCATGTCCTAAATGCCATTTTCTGTCATACTGTTGATTTTCGAACTTCAGAAGCACAGCAGTACCAATGATCACGTGGTGTGCTTAGTGTCTAAGAGGAGAACATGATTAAATCAGGTTAATGCACGTAATCTGATAAACACAACTTTTATTGAAAACATGATCTAACAACACAATGCATGTTTCATTATACTGACAAATTCATTTCAAATCTTTCAACAACTTCTTACATTAAAAAGACAGCTTTTTGGCAAGGATAGAGCACACTAAAATGAGATCAAAACAGAACTAGTATACATGTAAATGGCTAAAATAAAACCCTCTAATTAATCAATAATACACAACCTACATGTACTTATGATCTGAGGCAGTATAAAATGTACAGGAGGATATTCATGCTCTACATAAAGTCCTGAATTCCAGAAATGGGGAATAATTTATATGTTAATAGGTCACTGAATTCACAGGATGATGTGTTTATTACTTGCTCTAATTTGTGTGTCAAGGAAAAAAATGCAAACATTTTACCCCTACAGCCCTTAGAGTAAATTTGCATTCTACTGCCAGGCGAATGCAAGATAAAAATATTTGTTGCTTCATTATTAAAAATATCTGTAAATATTACTGAAAAATAATGATATTGCACTCATCTCTATTGCACTTTAGCAATTGTTTGTATTGGCAAGTTCAGATCAGGGAAAAAAACCCCTTAAATTTAATAAAAAAAGACAATAAACATTTAAAGAATATGTTTTTAGAAATAATTAAAAAATTGTCTGGATCTTTCATACTTCTACTGCACATTGATTGCATACTTGTAACAAATTACAATTGAAAAGGACAAGCACAAAACAACACTGCAATATGTTGAATCCCTATCTACAGTTCTAAAAGTCCTTGTATTGTTAACTTATAATATTATCGTCCCATACAACAACTGAATTTATATAAATATTTTAGATATACTTTTTTTCCACATGAGATTAATATACGCTATGTATGCAGTCACATTTTCCACGAAAATTTCTCCCAGCATACTTAAAGTACATCTACGACAAAAAATGTCAATCCAACAAATCCACGTAGTTTCCAACCCCCGAATTGGACAGAAACTGCGATTCTGCAGAATTATGATCCCTCGAAAAAAAGGACATTAACAGTAATTCAAAAATGATACAAAAAAACTTCCCTCTTTACAAAAAAAAAAATCTTCCAACCTTCTTCACAACAATGGATATGTCATCAATGCTTCCCTGCTCTTGGGATGGATATCTAGCAAATCATTTTTGAAATGAATTCAAAACATGGTGCAGTTTATGCAGTCTCCTTTATAACCAATGCCATCCTTAGTCTAATTAACAATGGTCAGTTTATCAATTAGTGACTGGTCCACAGTGGTCAGTTAGTTGTCCATTGGTCATTTTTCCTGCTCGTTCTGTGAGAACTGATCCCCCCACCAGGACTGGATGTTAGTGGACACATTCTCCCCAATCAGTATACTCTCTGTAAAGGTCTTCTGTAGAGGGGATACGGCCAGTGTCTCACCCTTAATCTCCGATGTCTGACTCAGGTTTACAGTCAGGCCTTTAAAATTACTCCCTGAAAGTTAAACATATGTATATAAATATTATGTATCTTATGTCAACATTGAATTTGTACCAGGAGTCTTTGACAAGTTAGTTTTATCTATAAGGGCTTTGGATACTTATATGGTATATGAACATTCAGCAACTGATGGAACTAGATGCAAATTTTGTCACTGAACACTCATTACATACAAGCAGTAAGACTACTAGATAGATTTACAGCTTGAAAGACAGTTAAACAGATGGATAGACAACTAACAAATTCACAAGCTCTATTGGTTTTCCACCAGTGGGCTAGAAATGAACCCAATTCTCTTGGATACTGTGGAATCATTTCAATTCGTGGGGTCAATGTCATAAGCAAAATTTTTCTTGTTCGTGGGGATGTAATTTATTGGGTTACTTGTTTATAAAGTAGATTCAATGAATCAATATGTTTACAAAGTAAACGTTTGTCGGGATGTAAATTCTTGCGTAACAGTGACCAACAAAATCCACAAACATTGGTCCCCCATGAACAATGATGATGCCACTGTATTTGATTTGGGAGGTGGATAGACAAAGTGGATATATCTAATTTCCTAGGTGCTTACCCGATGAAAGCCTTCCAGACCGTTTCTTCAGTGTTGGTCTTTCCTTCTCAATTCTGGGAGAGGTTCTTAAAGTTGGCGACTTCATCGACGAAAGAAAAAAAAACTTGTTACAATTAGATAATATGATGACAACATGTAAACCGATACAGTCTATTAACAACAAAAACAATATTTAGTCAATTTAATGTAAGACCTGATAAAATGTTTCAATGCTTGCTTTGGGTATATCCTCGGTTTGTACCTGAGTTGGAGGGGGTGGAGGCTGTACCAGGATATTGGGGGGCTGAAGCTCTACCATCCCCTTCTTCCTGGTTCGTACCACTGGACTCTCGTTACGATTTTCCTCGCTGCTCTCGGCAGCACTGGATGGTTGCTCTGTCAGGGTAAACAGAGGCTGTTCATTGGTGGCCCGGAGATTGGAGATCAGATTTGTGTGCTCCTTCTGTTTAGTAAACAGATTGACAAGGAATGAATGTAAGAACTGGGCACAACTATACATACATGTATAACTAAATAATACATCTGCATATGTCATTCTTAAAAATAAAATAATTTTATAGATGCACATAAAATATCTGTAACAAAACAGACAACATTCAATTAATACAAATAAGTTTATAGCCATATGTTTGTGGCATGCACAGTCCCTCAATTCTTTTTTTTTTAATTCTTAAAATACATCTGTTGTATCAACAATAAGACTGTTTAATAATGAGAGTACACCTTACTCACTAATAATTTAAATTTTGTTGAAATTATTTTTAAATACATGACTAAGGAGCATATTATTATTTTTTTTAATCTTTATCAGTGTTTACAGTCTATTTTACACTATAAGTGAACATTGTTCAGAAAATGAAATCAATATGAAGACAGTCACTCCAAACGTGAGTTTTAAAGACAAGAGTTGAAGCAGCAAATAGAGCTGTAAGAAATCTCAAAGCAGTAAAATCAGTCAGCAGGAGCAATAAGCCTTCATTACTGTTATAGCAGGGATGCAATAAAATTGTTTTTAATAACTGTAATATTGCAGTATAAATACAAATTTGAAAAATCTGCAGACAAGTTATTCTGGCCATATACAATACACATTTACATTTTAATTATTGTTTGGACATGTTAATTCACAGTTTACAATGCCATACTTGAAGGTTAAAAGCCTAGCGAGCCTTTTATCCCTTTAATTATTTTCTGGCACCTGCTTATATGGGGCCACTTGGGTTGTTATGACATATGATATGGTTTTTAGTTTGTAACATTCTCTATGCATTACATATCAGTCCTGCTGCGTATCATATAGAGGACTGTTACATATCAGTTCTTATGTAGAGTACATAGCTTTCTAACTCTTGGACAGAAATTCTGTGACAGATTTACAACCCTTCTGAGCTCCTTAATATGCTCTCTCTTTCTAGTTCAGAGCTCTCTAGCTATGTTCAATTTACTTACTTACTTTACTTATCTTTCTGGAACCTAAGTCAACTATGCTACCAAATTCTAGGATACGGGTTGTTACATATATTCCCTATTTCAATAGACTGTGATTTCTAATTCTAGAACAGAGGTTCAGTTACAAGTTTACCTATCAGCTCTACTGATTTACCTCACAGGTAACTGCTTTCTAGCTCTAGGAAAAGGGGTTCCTTTAAAAATATACCCTATCAGGTGATTGTGCTTTCTAATTCTAGGACAGAGGTTATCTGTTACAACTTTTACATGTACCTGTCAGACCTACTAATTACCCTAACAGGTGACTGTGCTTTCTAATTCTAGGACAGAGGTAATCTGTTAAACTTTACCTATCAGACCTACTAATTACCCTAACAGATGACTGTGCTTTCTAATTCTAGGACAGAGGTAATCTGTTACACACTGAGAGGCTGTCTACATGCAGCTTAACCTAGGTTTTACCTGCTGTGGTGGAAGTTTCTGTCAAATGAAGAACACGTGTAGCTCAGACATACAAAGCACATATTATAATATACAATGACCCAGTGATTCCAAAGGCCAGTTTAATTAAACATCACAATTATGGAATAAATATATCATAGATGTATATTATGTATATAGTTTATGTAAGATCATTTGAATATGTGTTTAAATTCGTTAAATTTATGAAAAATTTCAGGCATAGATTTAAACAGTCCATCAATTTATCTTTAATTCACATGTTTTATAATGATTACAATAGAAAGAAAAGACAACATGCTACAAAATACATTATTTTTATATGACCATGCTGTCACAGCCAAAGTAAAACCAAATGACCTCTTTAACAAACAGAAATAAAAAATAACCTCACAAAATTTAACAGGATACAATTAAACATACATATACAAACTGCCAAAAATTATCAAAATACAATCAGATATCAGCTTTTACAAAAACATTTCCCCCACCTACCGTTAAAAAATAATGATTAATTTTTATAAAGTTTCAATGAAATTTTAGTATCAACACTCTGAAAGTGACCAGCTTTGGCATTTTTTATAGGTTTAAAATGATTTTAAAAAATGGATGGAAAAAAACCCACTTCATTTTTTTTGCCCTCAAAGACCTTGACCTTGTATAGATAACCTTGGGTCACACTAACAACACTTCCTCATATAGTAAACAAGAAGAAGATCAGGTATAATCAAACAAATGTGAACCTGAAACAAAGTTGCTCATATTCTGTTCTGTGTACTGTTTTTTGTTTATACTTTCACCATATGTAACAGTTCTGTTCGAGACAACTTAAGATTTTCACAAGAAATTAAATAGAAATTAATAGAAGTTTAAAATAAAGTTCATGTGAATAGAGCAATATGCACCAAATTGATGCGATTTTCGTATGGACCCTTCACCTAATTATAAGAGCTTTTTGAGGGAACATTAATGAATATATACTTACGGCTCGGATCCTTTTGAGACATGAGTCGAGCCAGTTACGTATGGTCTGTTTGGCCACCTCCTCTTCTATTGTGTACTCTAGTTCCTGTCTGGCCAATAACTCCTCTAACTGTAGACTTTTACAGATGTCCACCGACCGGTACGACAACATACTGGAAAGAAAATCAGTACAAATATTTACCAAAATTATACCCTGACAAAAAATCTTATATGACACTCTTAAATCAGAAAGTACAAATACTGACAATCATTTATTACTAAATAAAAACAAAAAGAAACAAAACAAACAAGATGTGTTTGTGAAACATTGAAGCCCCTGGTTGGCAGCTTAAGGCCAAGGTTAAATACTGCAATATATATATATTCTTCCCCTCCCTTTTAAATAGCAGGGCAGAGTAAAGATTCTGTTCTATCAAGTTCTATTACAACTAACTGCAGACCTGATGACATCATGGAATGACACATCCATTCCCCCATGAAGACGTTCCATCTCATAACACATGTGTTTGAAAACCAGTCGTTCCTTCTCCAAGTCGACCTCCAGACGACCTTTGAGCAGTCTCAGGAGGAACTTCACTCTACGGACTGGAATAGATCCCTGAAATTTGAACAAGAAAGATGACAACAAATGATAGCATGAATAACAAAAGATGTCAATGGAAGGACATCAAGTTTAGAAACATAATGCATTAAACTTTGGAACTTGTGTCCAATCCCAGTTGTTGATACACGATAAAAATATGTTTAATTCAAATCTATTTTACATTATGAATAGCTCCAAACATACATTTTATTTTACCTGTACAACCTGTAACACTTAATCATCCCTGAGGTCCATGTTGATGTCTATATTTACTTACCTTCCTGTTGACATCCACAATGTTCCAGGTATTTTGGAAGTTTCTGATGTCATTATAGTTCAGCAGAGCATCCTCTTCATTGGAGTAGAACAGAGAAAAATTCTCCATGATGATAGCTGAAAATATTTTACAAAAATCTCAGTAAAAACCACAATTTTTTAATGTAACATTTCCTTTTACCATCTGCACAAAATCCACTTTATCCCTATTTCAACAATGATAGTGGACAGTTTCTTTCTCCAAATGACACTTTTGTGTGATCAATGTGATCAAGAGCACTGATTCCTTTTGCAGTTGGCAAAAAAAGAAGACCAAAGAGGGAATTTATACAAATGCACTCACCCACCAGTAGATTTAGGACAAAGGTACTGTAAATCAATTTTTATTGGGGAGAACTTTATCTACACGTAATTACGCGAGTCTTTCTGTTCGCAAAAATTTTATTCTTGCATATATTTGTAATGTTAAGGATTACATACAACAAAAACCAAAGCTCAGGAAAATTTGTTTCGCCAATAAATATCAATTAAATAGCTATCTCGCAAAAATAAGATGTCACGAAAATATAGTGATCTACAGTACTCACCCACCGATAGATTGTGGACAAAAGTACTTACCCACCAATAGATTGAGGACAATGTAGGTGATGATGATATAGAAGGAGAAGAAATACACAATGGAGGCAGTCCCATTACCACAGTCTGACTCCCAGATGTTGCCAACGTTTGTACAAAAAGGAGGCGCCACCTACAAGTACATAACCCAAAGAGCTAATGTCTTGTTTATGAATGTTTTTCACAATTATATTTGTGAAATAGACTTGGGCAATAAGAAATGGTTAATCTAAAAGTACACATTTAGCAATTTCATTATTTTTCAAAGGGGAGTAACCACAGAGAGGGTTTCTGTGACACTAAACATGTAAAAAATTATGAAAAAGAACACAAAAATCTGCAAATGTATTGGCTAAAAACTAAAGATGATGTGACATGGAAATAATCGACAACTAAATGCTTCATAAATTCAATATGTAAAAAGGAAACAGTATAATAGATGGTTATTTAAGTTACTCAAATGAGTTGTGTTACACACCATACAGTCATGCATGATTTTATTCCAGTCTTCTCCAGTGACAATCCGGAACAGCAGAGCTATAGCCATAGGAGTGGTCTGGAAGTTAGCTTGTCTGCAATTCAAAATCTCAGATTAACATGTTAATATTTTTACTGTATTCAGGTAGATGTCATATTATTACAGTAATCAAGCAGAATTCTGGGATAAACCTAGTGTGTGTATGAGGTATTTCAATATAACAACATGTTTAACAGAAGGATGCTATACAAAGGATCAATTCTACAGTTTATCACAGAAGTGATTTTTGCATCTTTATAGTGAACTTATTTTATTTATACATGTAACAGCTTAATATACTGATTTAATGAGTTAAACATGTAGTATATCTGTATGAAACGTTTGCCCTTTTTAGAATAAACAATCCTGCTCTCAAGACCAGAAAATGTGCCTCAACATTTTACCATCTCGGTTTGTATTCATGCAATATTATGTAGTTCAGAGTAACCTCAGCTAAAATTAAACTGACCTTCCCAGATTGTAGCCATGCTTGACTGTCCCAAACAGAATGACCCCGAGGTAAGCGTAGAAGAGAATCAGTAAGAACATTCCTGTGATGATGAAGAAACTTTTCAACACGGACATGACCACAGTCTGGGTCAACATCTTCAGGGCTGCCTAGTAAAACAGACACACACACACAACTAAGGCTCTAAAGTTCCATGAATTCATAGAATAAATACAAGTAGTTGAAAGTTTTAAAACTTATTTATTGATTTAAATTCACATTTTATCAAAACCAGCTTCCTTGAGTTTACATTCTATATAATTTGATCTACATTGCAGCTTCTTGAAATCTCTGCTTTATGTACCGGTAGCTATAGTATAAAAAGCTATGTTTTAAACAGTATCTCTCAACTTTAGAAGCTGTATAATAAAAAAAATTTGCTGATAATAAGCTACTGTATGTGGTTTGATTAACATCCTAATTTTACAATCAATATGTAAATTTTGGTTACTTACATGCTTTCCACATATTGTACAGAACCTCAGAACAATAATGATAACTCCAAACACATTATTAGCATCACCCTAGAAATAAAATCATCCACATTGACAACACCTTTTTTCATATAAAATATTGTATAGGAAAAATTGTACCTCTTGTATTGCTTAATGTCAAAAAGAATAAATGCAGTATTTATACATTTATACATGTACCTCACATAGAGATTCAAAGGTACTTGTTTGTACATTGTAATATACATTATATCATGAATTTAAATTAAATAAGTAAGCACACAGTGATTTGTCAAATGTTCAGACTGCACCAATAGTGGTCATTTTGACCAGTAAGTCCCAAGATCTCACCTCCTGCCCAGTAAGATTAAATGTGAAATGTAGTATGATCCAGATGACCCCTAGAAAGGTGAGCAGCATGTCAAAACGGTTCCTTCTACTTGTCCAGTAGCCCTTAGGTGTTAGGGCAATCATCTTTATTATCACCTGATAAAAACATTGCAAGACATTAGATCAAGTAACACAAATCCTAAATTAACAAAATATCATCATGCTGAGTTTGAGATTAAGTGATGAATGTTTGTAATTAGTTGCACTGTCAAACCTCATTTACTAGAACTTGAGGGAACGCCATTGAAAAAACTGAGATAAATGAGGGTTCAAGATATTTAGGGTAAAATACATAAAGATAGAGAGGTTGGGACTTCTAACTCACTTTGACATATCCCTGTTATTTGAGGTATCAAGTTTGTGATACAAAAGTTCAACTGTATGTTCTCAATCACCATACCAATCGTGACCCTCCCCCTTTTTAAACAATTCCATCCTTACCTCACAGAGGAACAGAAGAGTACACACAGCAGACACAGAACCCAAGATAAATGTCTGTCTGGCATTGGAAGACTTCCACTGCAACATAGACAAAAATGTTACATGTAAGTGGTCTTAAGCCTTACAGAATTTCACAAAATAAGACATTAAGTAAAATGTTTGCTATGGTACCCAAACAACCCTAGTTTAAATCTAGAAAACACTATTAAAACTCACAGGAACTCCCAGTAGCCCACAGTTGACAAGAATCAGGAACACCGTCGCTGCTTTAAATTTCTTATGCTGTGTGATGTCATACATCTTGGCGCGAAAGCTTGTTCCATCTGTAATATACAAGAGGTGCCAAAAAATGCTTCACATTATAAACTAATGCAGCAATGTGGACTTATAACAATATGATGGGGATTTTCCGTTCTTTTTATGCACTGTAAAGGACATTAATCTGTTTTAAATTCTTCTTCTTTAAACCTCTGACGTTTATTGCCTTAATGCTTTATCTGAGCTGGGTAATACAAGTACATGTAAAGACTAAGCTAGTTTTATACCTTACCTAGCCAATGTGATATTTTTAATGGTTTAGTCAGGTAATTTTTCACCTAACCTTTGTGAAAAAGTAACAATTGAAGCAATGCATGTCATACCAGGTCTAGGTGGTATATATTTAATGTCTTACCAGGACTAGGTGGCATATGTAATGTCTTACCAGGTCTAGGTGGTATATGTAATGTCTTACCAGGTCTAGGTGGTATATGTAATGTCTTACCAGGTATAGGTGGTATATGTAATGTCTTACCAGGTCTGGGTGGTATATGTAATGTCTTACCAGGTCTGGGTGGTATATGTAATGTCTTACCAAGTGTACGTGGTATATGTAATATCTTACCAAGTCTACGTGGTATATATGTAATGTCTTACCAGGTCTGGGTGGTATATGTAATGTCTTACCAGGTCTAGGTGGTATATGTAATATCTTACCAAGTCTACGTGGTATATATGTAATGTCTTACCAGGTCTGGGTGGTATATGTAATGTCTTTCCAGATCTAGGTGGTATATGTAATATCTTACCAAGTCTACGTGGTATATATGTAATGTCTTACCAGGTCTATGTGGTATATGTAATGTCTTACCAGGTCTAGGTGGTATATGTAATATCTTACCAAGTCTACCTGGTATATATGTAATGTCTTACCAGGTCTGGGTGGTATATGTAATGTCTTACCAGGTCTAGTTGGTATATGTATAGACTTACTTGGTCTAGGTGGTTTATGTAATGCTTTACCAGATCTAGGTGGTATATGTAATGTCTTACTGGGTCTAGGTGGTAAATGTAATGTCATACCAAGTCTAGATGGTATATGTAATGTCTTAACAGGTCTGGGTGGTATATGTAATGTCTTACCAGGTCTAGGTGGTATATGTATAGACTTACTTGGTCTAGGTGGTTTATGTAATGCTTTACCAGATCTAGGTGGTATATGTAATGTATTACCAGGTATAGGTGGTATATGTAATGTCTTTCCAGGTCTGGGTGGTATAGTAATGTCTTACCAGGTCTAGGTGCTATATGTAATGCCCTACCTGATCTAAGTGGTATATGTAATGCTTTACCAGATCTAGAATGGTATATGTAATGCCTTACCAGGTCTACATAGTATATGTAATGCCTTACCAGGTCTACATAGTATATGTAATGTCTTACCAGGTATAGGTGGTATATGTAATGTCTTTCCAGGTCTAGGTGGTATATGTAATGTCTTTCCAGGTCTGGGTGGTATATGTAATGTCTTACCAGGTCTAGGTGGTATATGTAATGTCTTACCAGGTCTAGGTGGTATATGTAATGTCTTTCCAGGTCTAGGTGGTATATGTAATGTCTTTCCAGGTCTGGGTGGTATATGTAATGTCTTACCAGGTCTAGGTGGTATATGTAATGTCTTACCAGGTCTAGGTGGTATATGTAATGTCTTTCCAGGTCTAGGTGGTATATGTTATGTCTTACCAGGTCTAGGTGGTATATGTAATGTCTTACCAGGCCTAGGTGGTATATGAAATGTCTTACCAGGTATAGGGTGGTATATGTAATGTCTTACCAGGTCTAGGTGGTATATGTAATGGCTGAGCCAGTTTAATTCTTCCTTTCAAGTCCAGCCATCTTCTTTGATCCACAGTCAGCAATGCTGTTCCCTACAGATCAAAGGGAATATCAACAGCTGAATCAATTCTGAATTCCCATTATATGTAAAATAAAATTACAGCAAAATGATGTTAAAAAATTAATATGTGACTATACCTTGTTTTCACTATAGTTGGCAATGACCACACCCACAAATAAAGTCAGACCTATCATGTAGCCCATGAAGACAAAAACATGGACATATATGGCATGTTCCTGAAAATAAAACAATGAAATTAAATTTGATGTCCAAAATTTTCCTTTTCTTATGTCTAGGTTTCATTATCTTGAAAATTAAATGAACACTGCAATTTAATTTGATGTCAACAATTTTCATGTTTTATGGTATAGTCGAATATTCCACATGATCTGCTCAGTTCCACATTCCACAGTTTTGTTTAAATTAAGTGAAACTTGTCTAATCAGGATGTTGTGTATTCCAAAATTCTGCCTAATACGATATAAACTTTAAGTCCTTCCAGTAAATTTCTATTGTTTAAACTGTTGTCTTATCTGGAATGTTGTTTAATCCTGCAAATTCCTAAGGAACCAGTGGTGTCCATATAAGACAAGTTTTCCTTAACTTAATTATAGACTTCTCTACTTAGAGACTCACCAGGCCCACTCTCTCAATGATGACATCCCTGACCTCCAGCCAGCCCTCCAATGATAACACTTCAAACAAAGCTAACATGGCACTCCCAATGTTATCAAAGTTAAAGTTATAGGGATTGGACCTGCAAAAGAAACTACATTTGAAACCACATCTATGAACTATGACTGTAAGATACAAACAGGAAAATATCCTTTTGATGGCCAATTCTAGTGCTACACATGCATTATAGTAAAACAAACTTATAGCTAACACACTTCTATTTTCATTTCCCCTGATTTTAAATCATATTGTGAACTTAATGGAACTAATTACATTAATAACAATGCAAAATTAATCCTAGAACTCTGCTATAAGTGTGGTTTTCATTGTACTACAATTTAAAAGCACCTAAGTTCTCATAAACTAAGAGTGCTACAAACCAAGTTCTAGGAACAAAGAATCCAGCCTCACTCTCCGTCCCATTAGGTATCTTCATCTGTGTCACAAACACTTTCTGGAAAAATCTACCCTTGCATTCTTCCTAAAAGAAAAGTAAGAAGTCCATGCTTGTGTTATAAAATGAATATACATACTATAAATATCATTATCATTTATCTCATTTTAGTTGATATTAAGGAAATTACAATAATATCTGAGAAATTCTGACCTTGGTGGTGATGTTGGGATCATTACATTTGTGAAGTTTTCCTCCTAGAACATGAACTCCATAAATGGCAAACATGAACATCAGCACCACAAGTAGGACAGAGACCTGCAACATTCAAATCATATATCATCATCAAGGAACCTGAACTGGGGAAACTACTGAGCCAAGGAAGAAGATTCTGTTTAATACTGTACCAGATTTTGAGGTGTGATTTACCAATATGATTTCTTTGAATCCCCGGATGAGTTCGTAAACCACCTTCCTCATGTGAGGAACAAGAACAAAGATCCTGAGAGGCCGTAGACACCTGAGCAACAAGAACACCTGGGCAGGTGAATCACGCTTCACTTCTTGTGGCATCCAGCACAGAAATATCACACTCACCTGAAAATTATAAAAATACACCTGGTGAGCAGCCAGCTACCTGTACACCTATCTAGTAAATAATGCAATATACATGGTGAGCCTCAAGTTGCCTGTACACCTATATATTAGATAATGCAATACCTGGTGAGCCACCATCTACCTGTACACATATATAGAAGATAATGCAATACACCTGGTGAGTAGCTAGCTGCCTGTACACCTATCTAGTAGATAATGCAAGATTAAAGTTTTCCAAAGTAGGTCATACTTCAAGGTCAAGGTCAAGAGGTCAAAAAATTGGTACCAAAGGAAAGGTCTTGTCACAAGGAATATATAAGTAAAATATTAAAGCTCTAGCACCAACCATTCAAAAGTTTATAGGCAATGTTAAAGTTTTCACAAAAGTAGTTCAAACTCAAACATAAAGGTTAGGAGGACAAAAAAATGTTGCTACCAAAAGATCTTGTCACAAGGAATATACATGTGATATATGAAATCCCTAACACCAACCTCAAAAGTTATGGCCAAGGTTTATGTTTTTCAAAAGGAGTTCAAGGTCAAGGTCAAATATATTGGTACCCAAGGAAAGGTCTAGTCACATGGAATATAAATTTAAAATATTAAAGCCCTAACACTAACTGTTCAAAAGTTATGGCCAAGGTTTAAGTTTGGTACAGTCCCTGAAACGTTCTACTTTCCCACTTGAATGAACGAGCGCAGAGCATACCGTGAGCAAACGCAGAGTGAACGGTGAGTGAACGATGAATGCAACTTGGTGAACGCTGAATGGTGAGTGAACACAGAATGCGAACGGAGCATGAATGCGAGCGCAAAGTGAATGGTGAACGAACGGTGAACGCAAGATGAACGATTTATTGGGAATGCCTCTGATCTTTTCCATGCATTGTATCTAATTGTATTCTAATGTAGGCGCAAAATAAATAAATAAATATTCAACAAGAGGCCCATGGGCCTTGAATCGCTCTTCTGATAAACTGTACAACCTATCACTTCTATTTGAAGCTTCGGAGTATCCTGTATATTTACATAAACCCTTGAAATTCCAATTCACACTCTGAGAACCCGAGATGATTCTATGCCAATTAGTACCTGAGAGTTGGTCATGGTGACCTACTTATCACTTGTCATTCTCTGAGGACCCATCAACTAAGTTTGATGATTCTAAGCCAATTAATACCTAAAATGTTTTTTAAAATTATAATCATAAAATTTTATAAGTAGGTCAAAGTGACCTACTTTTCAATTGTTTTACTCCGAGGACCCAAGATGCATCAACTGACAAAGTTTGATGATTCTAAGCCAATTAGTACCTGTAATATTTAATTAAAGCCATAAATTTTCAAAAGTAGGTCACCGTGATCTACTTTTCAGTCAACCTACTCCGAGGACCAAAGATGCATCAACTGACAAATTTTGACGATTCTAAGCCAAATAATTCCTGAAAATATTAAATACAGCCATAAATTTTCAAAAGTAGGTCACCGTGACCTACTTTTCAGTTGTTGCACTCCGAGGACCCAAGACGCATAAACTGACAAAGTTTATGATTCTAAGCCAATTAGTACCCGAAATATTTTATTAAAGCCATAAATTTTCCGAAAGTAGGTCACGGTGACCTACTTTTTTAGTCAACCTACTCCGAAGACCCATGATGCATCAACTTACAAAGTTTGATGATTCTAGCCAATAAGTACCCAAAATATTTAATTACAGCCATAAATTTTCAAAAGTAGGTCACAGTGACCTACTTTTTTGTCAACCTACTCCGAGGACCAAAGATGCATCAACTGACAAATTTTGACGATTCTAAGCCAAATAATTCCTGAAAATATTAAATACAGCCATAAAATTTCAAAAGTAGGTCACCGTGACCTACTTTTCAGTTGTTGTACTCCGAGGACCCAAGACGCATCAACTGACAAAGTTTAATGATTCTAAGCCAATTAGTACCCGAAATATTTGATTAAAGCCATAAATTTTCAAAAGTAGGTCACCGTGACCTACTTTTCAGTTTTGGAATCCGAGGACCCATGACGCATAAACTGACAAAGTTTTATGATTCTAAGCCAATTAGTATCCGAAATAGTTTATTAAAGCCATAAATTTTCCGAAAGTAGGTCACGGTGACCTACTTTTTAGTCGACCTACTCTGAAGACCCATGACGCATCAACTGACAAAGTTTGATGATTCTAAGCCAATTAGTATCCGAAATATTTAATTAAAGCCATAAATTTTCAAAAGTAGGTCACGGTGACCTACTTTTTAGTCGACCTATTCCGAAGACCCAAGATGCATCAACTGACAAAGTTTGATGATTCTAAGCCAATTAGTACCTGAAATATTTAATTATAGTCATATAAATTGAAAAGTAGGTCACGGTGACCTACTTTTCAGTTGACCTTTTTTGAGGACCCAAGATGCATCACATTACAAAGTTTTATGATCATAGGACTTAAAATGTCCAAATTATGTCTCTAAAACGCTTTGAAATCGAATGCCTGCAAAGTTCAAAAAGTAGGTCACTGTGACCTACTTTTTAATAAATATGTTTTATGGCCCCAAGATGCATCATCTTACAAGATTTAATGATTCTAAGCCTCCCCATATTCGAATTAATGACCTTAATTGTTTTAAAAAAGATTAGCCATAAAATTCAAAAAGTAGGTCAAGGTGACCTACTTTTTATTTGACGTACTTTGAGGACCCAAGATGCATCAACTGACAAAGTTTGATGATCATAGGCCTTAAATTGTTCAAAATATGCCTCTAAATCATTTTGAAAAAGAATGGCCACAAAATTTAAAAAGTAGGTCACCGTGACCTACTTTTGAGTCAACATGATATGAGGTCCTTAGATGCACCAACTGACAAGATTTGATGATCCTAGTCCTTATAGTAAGAAAAATATCAACATTTTAATAAAATGTAATTTTTGGTCAACTTTGAAGTGACCTTGAGACCACGCCCTTTGCCCCAGGGTAAATCCCCGTGCAAATTTTAATCTACAACATATCCTCATCCTTTTGTGTAAGTTTGGTGATAATCTGCCCAGTGGTTCTTGAGAAGAAGATTTTTTAGCAACCAGTACTTTTTTTTTCTATTTTCCTAATTATCTCCCCTTGTTAAAGGGTCACAACCCCAGTTTTAGTATAAAAGGGAGCCCTTGGGCCAAGGATACCCTGTGACAAATTTGACAATAATTGGCCAAGGGGTTCTTGAGTTATGGCCCATATTCTAAAAAGTTTACGCACACCGCACAAATGGCCATAGCATTAGCTCTTTGAGCCTTTGGCTCAGAAGAGCTAAAAATTGTCCTAAGAAAGAGGAAACATGCACATTAAGTAAAACTATTAATTAAGTTTCTTACAATATTTTCTGCACAAATGTATGATGTTTAAATTCAGCTGTTTAATCACACGATTTTTATCGCTGTAAAACATTGTCATTGCTACCGAACGCTGTAGTTTAAAAAATAAAATCATTCTAGTTCTAAAATAAATATGTTTATTCTTATTTGATATATAAAACTATTACAAATAATGATTTTCGAAGAGGACATTACTGACTTATAGAATGAATTACAACGGTTGTAACAACCATACATGTATTTCCGTGTCAAGGCAATTCCGTGTAAAATGATGAGAAATTTTTTTAAAATATTTTGCTACGGTCTGTGGATGTATTGCATGCATACTCTCGTATTTTAAAAAATTAATGCAATAATTTATTTATGTGTCTTTTCATTTTTTATGATGATTTATAAACCAGACTTCTACATGTATCTGTAGACAATTCCCCGTGATTATACTCGGGCAAGATGATACAAATAAGCATTCATATTATTTGTTATAGATTAAAATTTCAGAACTTGATATTTAAGTAATACATTTCATAGTTTTGATTAAACGGACAAATGAGAGAGAGAGAGAGCAAGAGCGAGAAAGATTCCGTTTTAGCCCCCTCCCCCCCAATTTCTTCAAATGCCTGTATAAACAAAAATTCTTAATTTTTATCTAAATATATCAGGCAGTGAAAGTAACCTTTTCTTTTATCAACAAATTCATTTTGTTTGACAGTCATAATCGGTTTTTATTTTCCTGCTTCAAGTTCACATGAAGTCCACATGTTTGTCCTTTCAATCAAAATCATTCGACACTGTGCAGGTGTGAAAGTCTCGTCACACCAAAGGCGAAGTGCTACACTGTAGTATTTCAAAGAAGTTTTAACATTTTTTATCATTTCTAGATCTGATTCCAACTTTTCCAAAAAATAAATAAATAAATAAAATACATTGGGCAAAAACACTTGGAATGAATTTGAAACATACTCCCTGGCCAATTTAAAATACCACCGTCGGCACGTGTATATTTTGAACTACTATTGTTTAATGACTTTTTTAGATGCATGTTTGTTTTGAGACTGAAATTTTTGTGCTACAAAACGCATTAACTTCTTTTTAAATATTAATTAAAATATACTGGAAATGCTGAACTAAGTAACCGATTTACATGTAGGTGAAAAAAGGGGGGAGGGGGTCTTAATCATATCGAATGAATATAAAGTTATTGTGAATAAAGGAATTTTTTCTCTCTTAACATTAGACTTTATTTATGAATCGTAGTGTATTACATTTAAATAAATATTTTTTAACCACACTATCAATTTAATTCGCTCCAAAGATATTTAATTAACTGGATATTTACAGTACTATTTAGAATTCTCAGAACTAGTTCAAATAATGTATTTCTATAGTAATTGAAAAAAAAACGCTTTAGTAATAAATACTTTCGAAATTCTGCTGCAGTTGGTAAATTAATTGACATGGATTATTATCTCTCCATTAACGTTTTGTCATCTTTAACATAACAACAAAATGTTGCAGTGCTTGAAGTACCCGTATATTGCCCTACTTAAATTTAATTTATCAGCATCATTCTACATAGGTACATACTTAAAAAAACATTTATTTTCAGAGAAATTTAATAAATAGCCTAACAGTTAAGTTAGAATAATAATAAAACATATTGTAGATATTTTTTTCCCATGAAATAATGATCCTTTAAACACGATATGTTAATGATTAAATTTCAAATCCTGTAAATCCTTACTTACAAAAAAGATAGGTCCTTTCACTTGGGAGTTCCAAATGACAGTGAAGACTGAACGATTAGTGAACGCTGAATTCAAGGTGAACGAATGGAGAGTGAACGGTGAACGCTTTGTGAAAGGTGAACGCGAGCGCACGGTGAACGCAGAAGCAAAACTGTGAACGGAGAGTGAACGGTGAACGCACGGTGAACGAACAGTGAACGAATGGTGAACACACGCTGAACGAATGGTGAACAAACAGTGAGTGAACAGAAAAATGGTAAAGTAGAACGTTTCAGGGACTGTAAATTTGCGAAAGTAGGTCAGATTCCAAGGTCAAGGTCAAGAGGTCAAACAAAGAAAGATCTTGTCACAAGGAATACAATGAAATATCAAAGCCCTATCACCAACCATTCAAAAGTTACAGGCAAGGTTCAAGTTTTTGCAGACAAACAGAGTATAGAGACAAACGAACAGATTAAAAACTATATGCCCCCCGAATATTCAATTACAGGGGCATACAAAGCACTTTTATCTTTGTTCCTTCAGGTACTACTTTTAGCAGCGTAATGTTGATGATGTTAATGTTATGCAATTGCCATTATAATCATATGGGAGGCGGGGTTATCATTTATGAGCTCAATGCTAACAGTGCCTCTAGCCCATGGGAAGCAAAAGGGGCAAACCTATTGAAATTTTGTAAACAAAAATATGAAGTAATTATCTCTCACATGTCTTATAATTGGATACAATTTCATCTAATTTGTTTGTTCTCTATCCCCTTGTCAAAGCTCATGGAAAGAAGACACAATTCCATATGATGCTGTATTTTACTGATATGTAACTTTTCATGAAGTTTCTTGCTGCTATTATTCGAAATAAGAAAGTTCTCGACTTCTCTGCGAGTGTGACCCCTCCCAGACAGATGAAGAGACAATGTACAAAGTGATCTGTGTCTGCTATGATACACAAGCACACAAAAATAGTATAAAGAACACAGTTAACCAAAGCAGTCACCTACCGCATAAATAAATAGATTTAGCATCCCTCCAAAGTCCTTGACTACACCTTTAGGGGTGAAGAAGAATCCATTGGCCAACACTTTGAGACCCATCTCGATACTCATACAGATTACAAACACATACTCCGCAATCTGTAAGATTAAAAGTATATGCACACTAATGATCTTAATATTTTAGTACTTTAGTAGAAATTTGACTTTAATATGAAAAGAAACCCCAAAATTCCTTATTCTGCTCAATTTAAACAAAAAAACAACTTTTGTTGGTTTCATTTTAATTTATGTATATCACAGTAAATTTTCAAAAAAAAGTTGACATTATATATGTATATTTTTTTCAATATATTTTTAGTGATAACCTGAAGTTCTGGTGTGTTCATTATTCTTCTCTTGGGCGTCTCAAAAGCCATGGATATACAGGACAAGATAGTCACCATAATCATCACCCAGTCCAGATATGTGACCAGTCCTAATATCTTACTGTATCAATAGAATACTAGTTGTATCAGTAAAAATGAGTATCTATATGAAAATGTATAAAATTATATATATATTGAATGTTGTCTTTGTTGTATCCAAAGCCTAGAAGTGACTTACTGTATCAAGCCTAAATGAATTACTATATGCAGCCTAAAGGTGACTTGCTGTATCAGCCTAAAGGTGACTTACTGTATCAGCCTAAAGGTGACTTACTGCATCAGCCTAAAAGTGATTCACTGTATCAGCCTAAAGGTGACTTACTGTATCAGCCTAAAAGTGACTTTCTGTATCTGCTAGGGGTGACTTACTAAATCAGAACAGAGGTGACTTCCCTTATCAAGTTTAGAGATGATTAACTGTATCCAGCCTAGAGATGACTTCCTGTATCCAGCCTAGGAGTGACTTACTGTATCCAGCCTAGAGGTGACTTACTGTATCCAGCCTAGGAGTGACTTCCTGTATCCAGTCTAGAGATGACTTCCTGTATCCAACCTAGGAGTGACTTCCTGTATCCAGCCTAGAGATGACTTCCTGTATCCAGCCTAGGAGTGACTTACTGTATCCAGCCTAGAGGGGACTTCCTGCATCTGTCTTACAGATGACTTACTTTAACAGCCTAAAGGTGACTTCCTGGACTCAGCCTAAGAGATAACTTACTTTATCTGCCCTAGAGGTGACTAACTTTTCTGCTGGAGGTGACTTACTGTATCCACCTACAGGTGACTTACTGCATCCCCTAGAAATGACTGTCTAAACTGAAAGTTGACTTCCTATATTCACTTAGGGCTGACTTGTTGTATTCCTCTAGAAATGACTAACTGTATCAGCCTACAGGTGACTTACTGTATTCGTTTATATTTGCTGTTCAGCTCCTTTCCTGTGATGGGGTCTCGCAGTGTGTGGTTATACTGAGCATTTACAATCATCTGACAGACCTTACGAAACTGAGATTCCCGTCCCACTGTAAAAAGAGGCGTGTCAAACAGGGGGTGGTTTTCTCTAAGGTCCTCCTCCTGCTGACTCCTAGAAAACATAACCAATACACCATCAGTTAATGAGTTGGTCATACTTGTAACAATGTACCATTTCTAAAACATCTTGTTCATACATGTATTTATAAAATGTCATTTTATTTGTAATGCATAATGTTTACATGTTGGTGATATAATAAGAGTATAATTGCAAATTCCTATTTGTAAAAAAAGTTTAAATGTACATATTGTTTTGAAAAATTATATTCAAAAGCCACTGAATACAGTACGTGTGTGTGAATTCAATACATATCAACTATATGAACTAAGCACTGATGTGTTGACATGGTACGTCAGCGAGACAAGCTTATTTTCAATCCATTACCTCTTAATCTCCGCCTGTTGTTTCCTCTGTTGCCAGACTTTTATGTCGTAATCGTCAGGTGTTCTAGTTCGGTTTAGTATAGAACTATTTATCTTCCCCAGATGGATATCACCATTCTCTTTGGCAGTACTTCTGGTTTTCAGACTTCCAGGTCGAGAACCTCTCATGCTTCTGTAAATGTTCCGAATTTTTTTGACATGACTATGTATTTCTTTAATTTTTGTTAATAACCAGTGATCAGTACAATGTAAAGAAGGGAAAACACTGGTCAGTAAAGAGTCCCTCACCTTCTGTCCATCCTGAGTTGGTATTGTTGAGACAATAGGGACTTAGGGCCACTAGGAACAAGCTGAGTAGACCCACACACCTGCATCTTCTGCTGAGCAGAGTCCCTGTACAACAAAGTATCAATAAAATGCTTAAACTACAGTATGTAACTTTTTTGACATGTGTCACAAAATGCAACATAGTTAAGAGGCAATGTTCTGGAAAATTTTTTTTGGTCTCATCTGACAAGTCAACTCTGTTTTTTTTTTTAAATTAGAGTGCAAGTCAAATGTAAAATGTTTTTCTTCTTAAGAATTACACTGTGTTCATAATCCTCTAGTTAACAGTACCTCTTGCTACAAAGTTTTCAACTTTCTGCAGAAAAAAACTTTCACTATCTGCTACCTAACAATGAGTGTGATTCCACTCCTCTTCTCCATTGCTCCGCCACTCTTAGATCCACTCACATCCTGTCTGACCAGCTTGACTGGTGAGAATTTGACCAGGGTGGTGCTTTCTTCACTGATCTCCTGTATGTCTACGGTGAGGTTCACCTCTGGGGTAGAAAACTGCCTCATGACACTTTCTCTGATCTGAGACAGGCTAAAGTCACCCGGTATCTTGTACAGGTACACCATCTGTGGGTGGTTCCTACAACATGATAATTCTTCCATTTACAGTCAAGTCATAATTGTAATCTAATTCCATTATCATTCTATATATAACAAGATTTAAAGAAGTACAAAGAAATATGTTCAATTCCAAAACCAAGTACAGGGATTCAAACTTTGAGAAAACTACATGTATATCCATGGTAAAAATTCAAACCATACGGGAATTTGGTAAACACTCGAAGGCGCATGGGGAGTTTTTGTTGGCTCTCAGTCACCTGTTCCCTGGCCTTCAACTACAATATATAATTACAATATATACTACTGCAATATATAGTCAAACCTCACTATCTCTAACTTGAGGGAACAAAGATAAATCTTAGAGATATCCGAGGATTCGAGATAATGAGGGTAAAAAAACATAAAGAAAATGTACAGGACTGCCAATGCACTTCCAACATATCCTTGGTATTCGAGATATTGGTGTTCAAGATAACGAACTTCAACTGTTTACCACTTCATATTATGGCAAAATGAGAAACTTCTGTGAGGTAATGAGTAATACCTCATACTGGGAATTTTTAGCGACCACCTAATTTTGGCTTTATTAGTGATGGTCTTGGCAACACTTAAAATAAACTAATAACTCAGTCACATTTATTGTCTGAGAAAATAAAAAGCTTTCCCTAAGGTGACTTAAAATAATGCTAATTATAAAGCTCACTTTCTGGATAAAATTGCTAAATTTACCGGTCACTAAAATAAACTGGCATGTTGTAGATCTTTTTGACCAGAAGCTGCTTATACCAATAAAAGCAAGCTGTTTAATCAAAAAATGCCCATCTACTACACTATGATACAGTCTACCAAAATCACGACCACAAATAATGTCATTTGGCAAACTTCTTAAAAGGAATTCTATCAACTGTAATTCATATATGTGTCATGTATATATACCCTCCTCCACCCTGTAAAACTAATCAACTGTACTACGTCCTTTACTTGTGGTACTTGGAAACCCTCATATTTTCCTTATTGTATATTTTTGCCTGACACTTCTTACTCCCATTCTTTTTTTTCTACAGTAACATGTCAGTGATACTGACCTGTTTAAGTTTTTTGATGTCTTCATCCAACTCCAGGTTGTCCAGAATAACAGCCACAAAGGAACTGATAACGATCTACAGACATGAGTAAAACAAAGTGAGATAACTCTGTACAACCACAGGGGAGACAACAAAATGCTCTTTGTTTCAAAGGCTTACTAATATTGGTAATGTTTAAGGTATTAATGCTATGAGATTCAGTTATAAAGAAAATATATTTCTAATGAAGGAAAAAGAATATAAAAACAAAGAGATCTTTCAAAGTAATAACATATATCACTCATTTTGTAAAAACACTTTCTGTAATAGTGAATCATTGAAAGGTAGTACATCCCATAGGTTAATATTTAGTGAGGCGAAGCTGGTCTTCAGACACATGCAGCATACAAATTTTCTTTATTTCATAGCTCAGTACTATTTATACATGATTGCACACCAGAAAGTTGAAATTTGTACCTTCATGCATAGATCATCGATGAAAACTATACATTCTTAAGAGCTATATCCTCTTTAGAAATTTTCTGTGTCACTATATAAATACAGGAATTGTAAACAATTTCAAATCCATTAACTTGGAATTGTAAAACTCTTAACACAATATCACTAACCAGTAAAACCTTTCATTCGATAAACTTTGAACATATCAAAGTTAATTAGAAATAAAGAGAAAGGTTTCAAAACTTGTGCAAAAAGAAAATAGCGCTTTGGTGAACTGGGTTTTTAAACAAATATCAAGAAAAAGGGAAAATTGCAGAAAAAATTGTGGAACTCGTTTGGAGGAATTGTGAGGAATGTAGGCTGTAGGAATCGAGTGAACATGGAAAATTATGGGTGTAAAACTTTATTGGTGAAATTTTTTTTCAAATAGAACTTGGTTTTTATATCATGCACTAAAATTCTCACTGTATATAAAAATTTGTGAGGATTGTGTTAGTAGAAAATCAGACATGCTGTTCAATTCACAGTCAAGAAATGTACTTACAACCCCACAACAAGCTTAAACCTACAGCAATAACATCTTAAATAGTTAGCTTTGTTCCCTCACTCAGTCAATACTGTAGTCCGCAAGAACAAAAGAAAAATCTTCAAAAATTCCCAAATCTTCTAGACAATTTGAAAATGTTATAATTACTGCAGGGGTAAAAATCTTTTACAGAACTACAAAAAGCATTGAACACCTTAATTTTTTTTTAAATTTTCAAATTATTTTTTTTAACTGATTAATATATGGACAATAATGAATATCATTGCCTTATACCATCGGAACCATTTTATAGTCAGTTATTAATTTTCACCTCATTGGTCTGCATAATGGTATAACCTATCCTAATCAAACAAAACTTCATCTCTAAATTTCAAATTACGTAAAAAAAAAAAAAAAAAAAAAAAAAAAAAAAAAAAAAAAAAATACTGAACATGAATTTTCAGACTCAGCAACAAGTTTTAACACAAAAGTTCTAAGATTTAAAAAAGGAGTCCTGTTTAACGGTCTGCGGACCTAAGCTTCCCAATCAATTCTCTCTCTCTGTGTCAATGATTATATCTATGGGAGAATTATCACATTAGTAAAAGTCTAAACAGTTAGGTGGATCCATCAGGGGTGGGGTGGGTGATTGGACACTTATTCCATGTATACCCTTTACTCTCTGGGTCACGGTTTAGTCAGATAACTTTTGAAGGCTGGGAACATTATTCCGAGTGTACTGTTTTGTTATGCAGCATTCCACTAAATACATTTATAATTCTCCAATGATACCCGAATCAATATTTATCTTTTTTAAATGTTTCAATTCAGAGGCTCTTTACTTTTTATAAGGGAAATCACATACACCGAATGAATTAATAAATTATTTTTATTTTTAAAGAACTTCATTCACAGTATTACATAAAATTACATTTAGAAAGGAATCATAATATTTAAGGACCAAAAAATTCACACGTTTTCTATCAATATAAGTAAACATATGGAAGAATCATATGTTACACATACTTTTTCTATTTTGCCGTCAAAGTTAAAAGACTACTATTGAATCAGCATTACTTTACATCAGCTTTTAGTTTAGTGCCTGTACATTAATTTACACGTGTTTAGAAATCCTACTGTTTTGAATATTTATCCTCAACTACATGTGTAAAATTATGAAGTTACAATATTATCTGTCCAGTAAACAACATTAATCACATGTATTCAAAATACATGCACTGTGAATCTTAAGCATACACATGACCTATGAAAGCTACATAAACATGACGAAGTGATCAAATGTAAAAATAAATCCATTCTCTATCTTTTCCCTTTCAAATTCATGATTATACATCTTTTTTGTCTGTATAATTTTTTTCTTACATTTCAAAAGCGAAATGAATCTATTCTTAATCCTTTCACCTTGAATGATTATTTTCACCATTATAAAGTTAAATCACCGAAACAATGGATTCTAATGTTTTCCTTCAGATCTGCTTTTGATACATTTTTGAGTGACATATCTAATACATTTTCTTTTTTTATCTAACATGTACAATATTAAACGTCAAGATGACCTCTATCTACACAAACTCTCTAGTAAGAAGCCTCTGATCCACAGTAACAAAACCATTGAGAGAATCGTGGGAAGCAGTACGTCCACTCTGACCCGAGAAACAGGACTCATTCACTAATCTACACTATAACTCCAGCCAATGGCTGCCACTTAACATCAGTCAGTGTTCCGTCATCTACCTCTGAAGCAAACACTGAGCCGACTTGGTACTCACCAGCGTGACAAATAAGTGGTAGAAAATGAAATAGATTGCTACTATGGGGTAGAAGCGGTCTGTTTTCCACATTGTGATTTGCATCACTTCAGTCCAGCCCTTATTCGCTAGGATTTGAAACATAGACATGAACGCCTAGGGAAAGAGAATTACAGAACTATTAAAGCATCTCATAATATGTACATGTAATATTCTCTCAGTACCCAGCTACACTGTATTTTTACTGTATACCTAGTCTATACCAGACTGCTGTAGTTTATAAAAATTCTGCAGGATTTTAATAAAATTTATCATTTTCTTTCATCAAAAAGAAAATTCATGGCAGTTTTGACACAAGACTAGATACATATCTAATGTAGCTGGGTGCTGAGGAGGACATTTATCTCCCTTGACTTGAGTGCACATGCTGTTCTCTCTGAGTGTTCATCACCTACATGCTGTCAAGTACATCAGATATGTTAGTCCATCACCAAGGATACAGTAGTTCATCACCATGGTAACCACTGTGTTGTGAGTATACAGAATTAGATTTACAAATCAAAGTTGGATGGAGAACAGTCCACTCTTTACTGGCAATACTTTATTTGCAGATACATGTACCAATTTAATCAGTTAAACTTACATATCAAAAACAAATTTAACTAAATTCATAATTTTTTATCCCCCACCCCATCCCAAAGGAACACACATTTTAATTTTTTATTTGGGACACAGAAAACTGGACCATTCTCCTTGGGTATCAATAAAGGCACACAACCCTGTAAGGCACGATTCCATTCAGGATAATCTCCCTTACTCACCACTGTGACAAATTGGTGATACAAAATGAAATAAATGGCACAAATAAGTGGAAAGAAAAAGCCTCCTGTTTCTGTCTCCTCGATTGCCCCATCCATCACCTCGATCCACCCCTCTTGGGTCAAAATTTGAAACATGGACATAAAAGCCTGATCAAAAAGGGGGGAGAGTTTAAATAAACATACTCATAGTAGAATTTCAATAATTCTTGTCCATATAAAATTAATTAAATGCATCCATACACATGTCTATACTTTCCATCTATTGCAATTGCTTTCAGGAAGTACCCTGTTTTAAGAACATCTAAACTCAATGGAATAAAATTATGGAGAACTAAATGGACAAAATAACAGCTTTAACAAAGTACCGGTAGTTCTGACAAACCACATTTGTTAGTTGTGGTTTTTTTTACAAAAAAATAAATTGAAAATAAATAATTAAATATGAAAAATCAAGTATTTAAAAATAGCATACAAGATCAAATAATATGTTCAAAAGCCATTCTGAAAAAAAAAAATTATTCAGTTTAGTTCATTTAAAAAATATAACAAGAAGCCCAAAGGCCTCAATGTCACTAAGACAAATTTAAAGAGATATGAAATGAAATATTATAGAGGGCATATTACATTTCCACAAATTTTGAAAAATTTCACTTTTACATTTCCACAAAAAGCATTGTTACGTTTCTACAAAGTAATACACAAAGAAATTATTGTACCTATAAGCACTATGTTTCTGCAATCTATCTGTGGGGAACAAAGACAAACTTGACATTCTGTGTAAAGAATATGTAAAATATTATGCATGAAAGGTGTGTATTATTTTTATGAATAAATATACTTAAATTTATATGAATATCTACTTGCTTGACCGTGATCAAGGTAATACTGTATGTGTACATAAATTGGCGTATTCAAAATTTAGCGCAATCACTGGGTATGGAGTTTTTGGCGAAATCGTGAATTAGTGCTATACATGTCCGTGCTGCATATTGTATTTATAAATGATTTCTTAGCGGTATTCATGAATTAGTGCATCGTTGTTTACACCAAAGCCGCTTAAATATGAAGCCCACTTTTTTAAGTACATATACAGTATATTTGCTTAATAGTCATACAATGTTTTTCGTGGAATAAAAAAATATTTGCGGAATCATATCTTACTTACTGCGGAAAGGTAATATCAATTTGTGGAAAAGTGGCTGTAATTACAGCTCCGCAATACCTAAGACCAACGCCAAAAATCATGATTCCTTAATTTAAAAAACATTGTTTATTTAGCAAAACATCTGAAAATGCTCATAGTTTAAAATTTTGTGATTTTTGGAATACTTCTGCCAAGTTTGTCAAATGGCTCTGGAGGAGAGATCACAAATATGGCAAATTTGCAAACAGCCAGATAAAAGACTGAAACTTTGATCAGAAAAACTCATCTTGGATCAAGTGAGCTAACAAAATTATAAATATGCATTCATGTAATTTTACTTTTGCTATTTACATGTATTAGTAGTTTGTTTCTTTGTTTTTAATAATTAGATTCCATTTAAATTTGAGTTGTAAATGATGAGATATACAGTAAGACTAGTAAAGTATCAACCTGATCAAACCTTCCAAATTTGTTAAAATTCCTGATGTTACAGAAAAGTTGTAGGCTGATACTGGAGGCTATAATTAGGAGACACATCGTAAACAGGATAAGGTGACCCAGCTTCTTACCAGGACCAAAGATCTGTCAAATTACAATAACATACACATATAGTCAAGTAAAACATTCTTTTGAAATTTTCATTAATTAAAAAATAAAATGTAAAACATCAATTAGACACAAGAAAATATGAAAGTGATTATTAGTAATTATGAATATGAAAATAAATTGTAAGTGGTAAACCAATGTCGTCTGAATTACACTTTAGATAAATTAACTCAAATATGTCAATTTCATCAGACATTATGATAGTTGTATAAGGAAAACCTAAATAAGAATCCACAAATCTAAGAGAGTTATCATTACACGGTGCTATTGGAGAATGCACACCTTGAAACAGAAATCCTCCAGCATTGGGGAAGCCTTCATTAACCTTACAACTCTAAGCACCTGCAAAAGACAGAAACAGTCAAAATACCATGTTCAGGTTACAATCTTAAAGTTCTATATAGAGACAAATCTTTAAATTGTAGAATCCTACCTGGAAATATGTAAAGTGACCCCTGTAGAACTGAGGTATAATGTGTAGTGTTGTCCCGATGGCCAGGAGCAGTTCAAATTTGTGGAAAGGTCTCTTCTTGTAGCCTTGGAAACCTAGGCACCAAATCTTGAACACGACTTCCAAGTCGAAAAGGACCGTGAAAGCTACCTGGAAAGTATGGGTTATCCATTCAAGCATGCTAGAAGTTCAAACTCTTATCCGTCTGACTTGGTGCTGAGGTACATGTATATAGGCATACACATGTAACCTCTATCAAGGCTCTTGTAGGTTCTTCAAATCTCAATGTACATGCATAAGAGTGTTTTATATTCCCGCAATCCCACTTATGCTTAATGATATCCTAATGTTTTTCAAATCATTTAAGGATGAATTATCTTCTGTTAAGAGAAATCTTCCAAACTTTCAACCTGGAAAGTATGGTTCATTAAATCTCTGATAGAGTACTGGAGTGTTTTTTTACCTGTGCTGAATGAATTCTTACCGATTTCTATTAATCTAAAGAAGAATTATTCACTGATAAGAGAAATAATTCTAACATTAATAAATAACTATGTTTCCTTTACGAACTGTTCATCTTGCACATTGATTACATGTATCTCTAGTTTTGCACTGTATGATATACATGTATTCATTGCCTGAATTTCATTGTTAACTTTTTCTTCTGTTAGAAAATTTTATGTAAATCTACTGTCAGAATATTGTTACCATTAAGAAAATTTCCAACAGAGCAAATTTAAGAGACAGCCACTCTCCCTTAGTAAACATATGAACAAGAATGTGCTCACATTAATAAATTCCATAACAAAACACTGTTACCTCAGCATAGTAAAAGCCGTCCAATTTGTTCCTGACATCTGCCTGGCCTCGGAAGGACAAAGTGGCCCCGGTGATAGCATTGGCAAAAACCAGCAACAAAAAGAAGGTGTGGAAGAAATTAGAACAAAGGATTTTCTGGAAGAAAGGTGGTGCAAAGCCTTTGGCTTTATTCTCATCAATTAATACCATCTTCCATGAGTTGCCTTCACACTGAATCACCTAAAAACAGAAATAGCAAAATATTCTTTAAGGAGTACTCAGTTAAGGCCTGAAAAATATATCTTTAGCTTATAAAACCTTTTTAGTAGATATCGATGAAGAAATATAAGAAACCTGACCGCAGAAAATACATGGTAAAAGAAAAATTAGTGAAAGGTTGTTGGAAAATAGCACTGAAATAATGCAAGGTGCCTAAATAAAAGAGGTGATCAACAAGCATTGACACACCTATTTAAATACTGTGGCAATTGAGAAAATTATGACGTCATAAATATATATACATAACACCTACATGAAGAAAATTCAGATACCAAGAGGGTTTTGAATTTATATATTCTAACCTACTGGTGAAGAGTCCAGAAATGATAAGGTATAGAAGATATGTATTTACTATCTATGATATATTCTGACATGCATTATCATCTACCTGTGAAGAATCAGAATCCGTAGCGCTGCCTCGTGATCCCCACATCTGTTGGAACTGAACTCGAATCTCCGCAAACGACTCAATAATCACAGCAATAAAGATATTCTACAAAATATTGGAAGAATTTGAAGAAATTTAATACTGCCATTAAACCAAAAAAAGTGAGATTTAACCTGTTTCAGAGTGAATTTTAAATTAAGTGAATTCTATAAATTAAACGTATTTAATTAAACATGTATACCTTGACGAGCCAGGCCAGTATAAAAATGAGGGTAATAAAGTAGACGAAGGCTAGCTCAGTGTAAAGACTGTCTATAGCTCGGTACATCAAGAACACCCAACCCTCCTGTGACGCGGCTTCATATACCGTGAAGAAACTCGTAACTGTAAAAATATCATTCATCATAAATCTGTAGTGAAAATCAGTAAAATAATTAGACTAATGCCCTGTTCACACGGAGAGTTTAATTCGAATTAAACGTAAGTTACTGCGAATTAAATTTGATCCGCGTTCACACGGAGAATTTAATGCGAATTAGTTTAATTCGAATTAGTTTACTGCGCATTAAATTACTTCGCATTAGCTCCGTGTGAACGCTAAGCGAAGCTAATTCGAATTAAATTTTGACGCATGCGTAAGAGCAAAATTAAGTCACCTGCCACATGACGGTGGTCAGTTATAGGTACCTATGCCATTTTTAGTGCAAAACAAAGGAAAATTACGTTAATCACTGAAATGTGTATAGACACTATGACTATTATGTCAAATGGATTTGCTCTGCATAAGGTGACGTGATTTGAAAATGACGTCATAATAGCCTTACTGTAGAAATAAAATTTTAATTCGCATTAGTTTACTTCGCATTATCTGTCATGTGAACGCAATTTAATTCGCATTATTTTACTTCGCATTAATTTACTGCGAATTAAACTCTCCGTGTGAACAGGGCATAAGATTAATATTCTGCTTGTATTTTCCAAGTCTACTTTCTATTTTGATCTCAGGGTAGAAAAAAAAAGATAGTAAATCCATCTCTGGATTTTTCTGCATATTTCATACTAGTGGTGAATGGGTACATGTAATACTGAGTTTACACTTCCTTAACTCTTTACCCCTTGCACTGTCTGTGACGTAATACTTGCATTACATTTTGTCACTATTTGATGACGTTATCCTTTTCCCCGCAGAGCACTTGCGATTACGTGCAGAAAAGACGTGATTTTGAACATGAAATTTACACATTTTGTGTGTAGCGATTTATTTAAGAAATGAATTTAATTTTTGAAGATTCATGAGGACATGAACTACGACGCTTTACGCCGGCATATTTCATGAAGCGCGTTAGCGCTTCATGATAAATATGCCAGCGTGAAGCGTTGTAGTTCATGTACCTCATGAATCTTCAAAAATTAAATTCATTTCTTATATTTACATTATTTTTTCCACAATTTACGCAACTCAACTGTCATTTTTAAAGCAAAACAGCTTGCACTATAGGTTTGATGTCAAGTACGGTATTCTGACGTAACAATGGAGATACTCATGCTCATCAATGGTAGTTCATGAGAAAATGAACAGAATCTTAAGGAAAAATATTTAGAAATGTATATATTGTAATAATGCTGTATTTATCGTCAAAATTCACGCAACCATCCGCAATTTGAATTCAGTATTTTTAATGGTAATTTTTGTTTAAATCATTATTTCGTGTGGACTGTGTTACACGTTTTTTACTATTAAATCATAGCTTGTACTTTATTAAAAAGTTTAAATCCAAAACATTGTTCAAAATATTTGTTTGATTTTCCAGACAGGGTTCAATTTCTGTGCTCATAATAAAGTGAGACACAACGACACTCATAACCGCCCCCTTTTTTTATTTCTTCGGTCACATGCATAACCATTTTATTGAAACTTGCAGAATCTTCTAATAAATAAAAATAGAAATGAGAAAAGAAGGATTATCACTCGTAAATATTTCTATAACAGTTATTTTACAGATCCATGGAGAGAAAAAAAAAAAGAAGTTGGCATATTATATATTGTATTTGTAGCTTTCAACTTAAATTTTATCTGAAATAATAATTTTTTTTTTTAACAAAAAAGAATTTTGAATATCTCTTAATTTTCTATTGGACAATAGCAATTCGTCGAAAGGAGACATCTTATTTTAACTGACATCTTCTTGATAATATTTTTGCCGATATACAGCTGAAATACTGCCGACTCGGCGTTAAACAATAATCAATCTTAAATTAGCAATATCTTTACAACTACATATACATGTCGACTACTATAAAAAAAATCAGCACATTGAATAAAGAAAAGCATTCATTTTCCCGAAAGGCGAACCTCGCATAAAGCATATCGGAATGCAGTATTTCTTTTCTTTGGAATGGATTTAAAACACATTTTTTAAAAACAATATATCAGTAATAGTCGATAGTATTTTTTTCCGGTGGTGTCCGAAGTATTCCGATTAGTTGTTGAGCAAATCAGGCTGTTTGTACTGTTGGAATGGTTTAATCTATGAAAAATGCATAAATGGTAGCTGTATTTATCGAGAAATATAGAAAGTATTTCCACTATTTTTGCTAGGCCTGCCAACGGAATACGTTCAAAATCAGATTTCTATGGCATGATGAATTCTATAAATATGCATATTTATATCGAATTCAATCAAACTTGCATTTATAAAATATTTAGTAAAAATAAGAAACATAGTATATACAATCAAATTAATTCATCAATTATTCATGAGCTATCAGGAGTTGGTGCGTAGTAGATACACAGATTTTTCAATGTCTGCTTCTGTGATTGTGCTGTTATCCCTATGATCATCATATTATTAAAATACACAATTTAATGGCAGAAAAAAATCCTTAATTCATTGTGTTTGTAAAATTTATACAATTTTAACCGGAAAAAAGTTCACGTAGATCAGAAAGGAAAATAAACAGAATGTCCCAATACTTTGCTGCATTTCATTTCCGAATTTTCTTTTCTTTTCTTTTTTAATTCACTTTTCATTTCCTACATTTTATACTAGTTTTCTTTTCTGACATTAATAAAATAGTATTTTCAGGCAATAAAACTGGGGTGAAGACTTTCCTTATCGAAAATCAAAATTTTAAACAATAAGTCATTGACATCCAAATAAGGTACATGTTTTGCTTTGCTTTTAAAGAAACCAATGTTGAGTTTGAGATCAATATAAATGTGTCTCGGATATAAAATAGGTGTAGTCACTGACATAATATAATGCAAGCGTAGTTGACTTTTAGAGCGATCATTCATAAAATTGGTAGACATAAAATGCATATGTAACCACTGTTTGTATATACATGTATTTGGAAAATGTAGTTTGAAATAAACGAAATGTTTTTATTCTGTTAGAAATTCTATTTTCACCTACCAGGTTAATGAAAAAAGTACCCCCCCTCCCCCCCAAAAAAATCCGACTATGTAAAAAAAAAAAGTGTCGGAAATGAAAATAAAAAAAAAAAAATTCGGAAATGCTGAGCATGATTCCGGAGTTGAAATATAGCGAATAAATTCCGATCAGCTCTCCTATTCAGATAGCAGTTGATAGGAGATGTGTAAACCCCCCCCCCTTCCGGGCGAGGAAAGGCGTTTCAATTGCATTGGTTTTCAAATCTAAGGGTGACACGGAAGTGGTAAATAAGGTCACGAGTTAACTGTCCATCCACAAGGTGGCTGTCAAATGTGTCACATTGCTGTCATTCCTGTGCATTACATATGCATATACATGTACATGTAGCTGGTGGAAGAATCCCATCAGACCACATCGTCTTCCCTTTCTGGAAAGTTTACTTTGCCTAGAGTTTTTCATAAACTTTGTCTGATTTCTAATGTATGCAGTATAGACATACATGAACCTATAGTGTATATGTATATTCTAAAACTACATGCGGTAGCGACTAATATAAATGAATATGCATTTAATATACTGACGATATAAATGTACTCAAGGCAGTTCAAGGAATATTCCTAAGGGAGCCTTTACCCACTGAAAAACTAATAGCTAGCTCCGGAATTTGTTGACATATAAACTTCATAAATGACAAGGTGCCCATGCATATGTTTATATTTACTAAAAAAAGTTGGGGATTCTACTTGCATATATGTAATTGCTTTCTTCAATGGCTGTAGTAATAAAAAGGAGGGTCAAACTCCCTGAACTCTCCCCTCCTCTATATTTGCACATGGTGTGTTTTGTGTTTTCATTTTCAACTCTTTGTACATTTAAGTATCTATTAATTGGATTCATTAACACCATTTTTTGATGCAAAAGTATTTGTTTATATTAAAAAAAAAGAGGAAAAATATATTCACAAAAAAAAAAAAAAAAAAATAAATAAATAACGAGACTTTATGCCGACTCTTGTAGACAACCATCGGTTTGTAGACTTTGCCATGTTATCTATAATAATGCTAATGATTAGAGAGATTCTAAGTGAAGGGTTACCGGAGCATCAAAGCTACAATGATTACATACGTGCTTGGACGTTGAGAAAGGGGGAGGGGGGTATTCAAAATTGATTAAAATGTTTTATATCCGTATGACAGACAAACAAACAAGTATTATTATAAACATATCTTCTTTTTTATGAATGTTGGGAACGCTGACTTGATGATGAATTCTAAATTTAAATTGATCTACATGAACATTTTACTTTCTTTTTCATGCAGCATGATTTTCGTCGTTTCTTTTTTTTTCTATTTTGTGTATGTGTATTCCGTGTGATATACTGTGTAAGGCGGAAGAAAACAGGTTGTACTTTTGCGAAATTGAATTTGAATCGAACAAAAAATTAGATTAAATTAAAACAAGGCATTATTCTATGATCAAATCCCCTTTTCTCTGCAGCTGTATGAGAATATGAACTTCTGTCGTAATTTTATCGGTTCCTTCCATCATTTTCTGTGCACGCTTTCCATCAAACAGTAACATTAAAAAAATTAAATAAAAAAAATGAAAAAAAGCAAGAAACTTTCATTTGTCGAATTTGGTAAATTGTGGATCGAGGGTCCCACCTCACACAAAATTGGAGGAGTTCCACATCACCAAGCCAGTGGTTCCAGTGGTGAGCTTATTTCGCCTCAATAGAAAGATTTTACTTGACTCGCCCCGAAGTTTCGTCAAATAAATCATACGACTCGGACATATTAAAATTGGAAAAAATATTCTTTTTTGAAAAATATTTTAGAATAGAATTACAAAATTTATTACATAATCATTCATTATCATACCATCAAAATTTTACCCGTTATCAGAGCAGGAAAGATCAAAAACTAAATGTGCGTTAAAGTGCGTGATTGCGGGGTAAAGGTATATGCGTTAAAATGTGTGACTGCGGGGTAACGGTATATGCGTTAAAATGCGTGACTGCGGGGAAGGGGGTTAAAGGGGATTCATACATTATACCTGTCTACAGTGTTTTACATAGTATCTAAACTAAATCTTTACCAGTAATGATTTTTTTGTTAGACACAGAGTTGCTCAATTATTGATAGCATTAATTGGTATATGAACTATGGATGAACTAAAAATGCTGAAACATGTACATAAAAAGCTAACTGGCACTAATAAGACATAAAGATGGAGCACATATCTACTATATTCTATTTCAATTCAAAAAGTCAAAATTGGAATGCGTATACAGTCAAACCTTGTTATCTCGAACTCAATGGGACCAAGAAAAAACTTTGAGGTGTCCAAGGATTCGAGATGTCCGGGGTAAAATACTTCAAGATTAAGGGGTTAGGACTTCAAAATCACTTCGACATATCCATGGTATTCGAGATATCAGTGTTCAAGATACCGAAGTTCAACTGTGCTTCCTCAAAGGAAGTGCAACTCCTGACTGAGCAACATCGTACTTACTGAATTCATCAAATCCGTCAAATCCTCGGTGTACGTTGCTGAGCTCCAGCTGCATACACACCATCCCACTGGTACAGTGATAGCCGTAATCCGGGTTCCTAGAGCAGTAGTAATCCGGAATCATCAGGTCAGCCTTCGTCACATTTCTGAAATGTACACATTCATCTGATCATAGAATTCTACACCAAAGCTATTCTAGGTCTATTGTATGTATGCATGCAGTTATATATTGATTTATTTCTCCCATATGAAGTAGCAAATATATAATATACTAGATGAAATCCCGCGCAAGCGCGGGGAATTGAATTTATACCACTACCAACAGAAAAAAATCTAATAATATATATATTGTAGTTTCTACTGACAGCCTACAGGCTTATAGCAGGAAGAAATACTTTGTTCGAAATCCCGCATGAAGTAGAAGTATGTCTCCAACCCCCCCCCCCGGGTAAAACTTAAATAACAAAATCATTAATTGACGTTTATTGTGAAACCTGTTATATACAATGTACTATGTTATGGATATCGTACTTCAAATGCTCTTATTTCATTTCCATCCGAATAAAAGCAGTGCATATGCACATTTTACTGAGAAATAGATTTTTTTGGTAAAAATTCACAGGTACTTGGGTCTTGGTTTATAAATATGTATGTACCTTATTGATATGTAAAAACTGTACCTTACCTCTTTTTTTTTTAACATATCAATAAGATACATGTATACATATTTATAATCCAAGACCTAAAAGTACCTGTGTAAAAATTAGCTTTTATTTAACGCCCTATGAATACACTGGCGGATTTAGAGGAAGGCCCAACCCCCCTCCCGTTTTGTGTCCAAAATATACATAAAATTTAATAAATTATTTTTTGGTGTGTCCGTGGGCCCCTACACCAAACTGGTTGCCCCCCCCCCCCTTTTTTCAAGATTCCTGGATCCGCCACTGGAATAGGCCGAGTATTTGATACAAAAGACTGTATTCAGAAAAAAACTGAAATGTATAAATTAAAGCAAAAAATTATACAACATAATTGTACTTGAATAATGCCTTATTCATTGATATTCTCTTTTCATGTAAGCAAGTTTATTACGAAGTACAAATTGTACTTCAGGTTCGTTGCCACGATGCTTTCAGTGAGGAATATATACAAATTTTACCGATAAATTTATTAGGAAAACCTACTACATATATGTAATAGTCTTTCCATATATAAATATATTCACAACTTACAGTGTTATCAATGATTTACCATTATTTCAATGACCATTCACACAAAAGCTATTTTTTTTCTTTTTAACATAGGGCTCGATGCTATATGATGTTCTAGAAGCTTCCGTCAATATTACAATCGGTGAATGACGAAAATAACTTGCACATTTCCCTTTTTAATCGGTTATCACAACTTATTTCTTTTATATCATTTAAATTAAGTTTTGATTGAATAATTCAGTAATGACGTTCAAGGAAATAAATAAACGATTGCTTGTTGTCAGTTTCATTAAAAATTGACAGCAACTTTGATCCGCCAACCGGAAACGCCACCGTACTCACGTTTTTGCTATTTCATGGCTGTTTATAGAAAATAAAAGTAGACTTTTAATCTAATGTACGATACTTACAATGCAAGTGAAATCTAAATATAGTTTACGGACATCATCTTGTATCGTGTGTATTCTTAGAGGAGTAAGTAAGAACTCTGGTTCACCAGTTTCAGAGTTTATTTGCAAAATTTATTAATTTATAAGTATAAGATGTATATAAGATAAGAAAATAATTTTCTGAAGGACTAGCTGGTATCATTAAATTGAGTGTATACCTGGGATCTGTGCCATTCCTGACACAGTGGTTCTTCAGCTCACCAAAAAACTGTACTCCCAGAATTCCATACAGAGACATGAAGAACAAGAAGAAGGTCGTAACATTGATTATCTGGTTACGAGAGCGCCTGGAATATCAAAAATCAGTATACAGAACACATACAGTAAAACTTGTCTAATCCAGACACCACTGGTTCCATAGAAATTGGCCGGATTTGACATTCCAGATTACTAGGTTAGGCAACATTTTAAACAAATGAATTAATTGGTAGGGACTTAAAGTTTACATCACATGAAGTAAGATTTCCGAATACATGACATCTGGATTTGACAAGTTTCACTGTATTATGAATTACCCTTTTTTAACTACACTGACAGTTTTGAATTCTGTAAATGATCCTATTACAAACAGGACTTAATATCTGCTGCAGTAAAACAATACCTGTTTTCAAAATTTCCAAAAATTGCTTTTTTTCAATTTAGAAGTCCCAATTGAAGCTTAAGAATTATATTACTGTATATCAACATATCATTATTTTTTATGACAAAATGTATCAATATGAAATCATGTTTACTTGAAAATTGTTTCAATCCTTTGTTTTGGTAGTTGGAATTTCAGCTTTTCTCGGAAGAGCCTAATCAGGATAAGTGGGCGGGGAAATCTCATTATTGACCAATAGGAATACATATCCACAATTTTAGTCATTTCAAATACCTGGAAAGAAAAACACCATACTTCAATTACAGAAAGTCAATTTAATCGACATATTTTTTTCTTATTTAACACCAGGGATTTTTTTACCCTTTGATTCCAGGGGCCGGGACCCCTCAGTTTGGGAAAAATAGCCATATTTGGTTGTAATTGGGAAAAATATCTTCATACAAATAAATGGGAAAAAACAAGCAAAAATCAAATATTTAATCATTTTTTTTATTATTTATAGTATGAAGCTGGCCTAAACCAGCTTTAGTGAATATGATATAATAGCAGCTGTAGAAGTTCGGAACCTTTAAAATGGTAAAGCCGCAGGTATAATAACATTGTAAATGAACATATTTATACAACGTTGTCATCTTTTTTACCTTTATGTAAGTTCTTTGAAAATATTTTTGATAGTGGGTTTGTTCCAGATGAGTGGTTAATCGATATTGTTAGACCAATTTATAAGAATAAGGGATTCAAACCAGCCTGAAAATTACCGTCCTAGGCAAACTCGAGAAACTGACATGGTATACGTTTATTTATTAAATAACAACCCTGACTTAAATTTTAAACATCGATCCCGCTCTAAAAAATACGCATGCAAACATCCGTAGTATTCCGAATACTTCTCGGAACGCATCGGATGGCTCGTACATCACACAAAGAGAACATAAACACCTTTTAGTCATTTTTGAATTTTTTTTTATTTTAATAATTTACAACTTACTTTTTTTCATATTGGAAATTTTTAGGTAAAATTTTGGGAAAAACATGCACTTTTCAGCACTGGGAATGGGACCGAATTTCAGCCCTGGAGAGACCCTAAAAAAATCCCTGAACACATACATGTGAAAGGGTTCTGAATAAAATCAGTGACATTGTGATTCAAGATAATGAAGTTTCTTTCTCTGGTGCAATCATAAATTGGCAAATTTCAGTCTTAAAAACAATATGTATTGGATTTAATTATGTAATGGAGTGTACATGAAATTAAGCTTAGATAACAAGAAGCAGCGTGAAAGGCCCTTAAATATGAATCCTGATAAAATAAGCATATGTAAGTGCTATACAGTGAATAGAAATATTTACTTATGGGCTGATGCATAAAAAATTCTTACTTGTAAAATAAGTGACATCCACAAACACAGAACCATAACTCCATCAAATTGACACCATCGATCTTTAATATAGGGGGCTTCACCCTTCAAAGCAAAAGAAGAATATTTCATGATATTGTTTTTTCATTTAAAACACGTAAAATTATGTAAAAAGTTAAAATCAAACCTCTTAAAACTGAACTATATGCAATCTGCAGGGCACCAAAACTTAACACTTCAGACAGTGAATAATAAAATGAATTTTTTTTTTAAAAAATAAAGAATAAAAATAAAACGCAAACCTTGACTATTCCCCTGATGTGCATTTTGGCAATCATTTCTGCGGAGAACAGGAAGGTAACGATAAGATCAAAGATAAAGGTGACATACATCAAGTGAACACTCAAAGCAAACATCTCAGGAGTATTGAGACTAACTGATACAAGACTCAAAAAGGCACAGAATCGAAGCAGTCCCCGAACCCACGGCTTGTTCACCCAGTCGATGTCCGCATTATCATTCAGGTTTTCATCCGGACCAAAGTCAGACAATGGATGACTGTCCTTGAAACTTGTTTTCCTATTTACCAACATTTTGGATAATGCAGGAACAAAAGTGGTCTGCATATTTTCAGTCAACTACGATTTATCATCAGTGCTTTGTTAAATTGTTTAAATGCACCTCCATTATGATGTGGAGTAGATGCATTCTTACCAATTCTTTTTGTTAATCATTATCTAGAAAGAACAAAACAATATTTAGTACAGCAGAAGCCAAAAAAAAAAAAACTTTCTTGAAGAAACTAAATCCATTTTATCAAGTTTGTGGAAAGGGGCACAATACGCTTACTCTGTTTACAGGGGCTTGCTCCAGGTGTGTAAAAAAAAAATGAAAAAAAAAAAAAACCATATAGATCTACCAACTAAATAAAGCTACGAATACAGTTTAGTAGTTGGAATATGATTTTACTAAAATAAATATAACTTTGTACACACCGGGAGAAAGCCCCTGTGTACCGTTATATATGTAAATCATTGTAAATATCCGACATTACATTCCCTTTACACTACAGATTGCCTAGATGCAATTCCGACTAAGGAAATCTTCGCACTCGCAGGACTAATCCATCATTATTTGAATATCGGACATGTTTACATCAATACCATATTTAACTTACACAATAAAAGTATTGTTTTACATGATATTTTACCATAACAAAAACAGCATCTTCATCAGCATTCAGCAGCCATTTTTTAATAAAAATAATTGTTGCAGATTAGTTATTGGAATACCGAGCCCGATTCTAAAACGTACTGGGGGATTTTTTGCGTAATGAGGGACAAGACAATATTTATCACAAAGGTGGGATCGTTGAAAACAAACAAACAAACACCCCCCCCAAAAAAAAAAAACAAAACAAAACAAAACAAAAAACAAAAACACAAAAAAAAAAACACTTAATTTTAAATTTTGAATTATTGTCCATATAATGTTTACTATATACTCATGCGCTATAGAGAATTTTCTGTTTTATATTTTGAAATAAGTTTTAAAAAGTAAAGGTGGTGTTTGCAATGTTCATGTGAAATTATAATGTTAAAATCTCTCATTTGGAAATAAAAAATGAAAATTAAGATTCAGAATAGTGTCCGCATGTTACAAAACAGCGTGAAGCTCGCTCTACTTCCTGTTTTGATATAGCATTTGTGTTCATTGATCGATTTTACAAGGTACATTGTATCTCTTAGCATCCTGTTCCAACATCATAGTTAAATATTCATCCTTGATGTCGGGCAAAGTGTATATTAATGCAAGAATGAATCAATGCTACAGTATTGAAAATATATTCAAAATCATCTCATTATATTCGTTGACCAGAACTGCATGTGAACTTTTGGGATAAATAAATGTGGACTCGGTGTTAAAGATTTGTTAATCTCTTTTATTTAACTGAAGATATCTTAAATAATTTTACAACAATTTTGTTTGAGTAATTAATTTTCTTACATTAGTGTGTAACCCCCCCCCCCACCCCCTCGATAAAACGGTAATATATTTGGATTATTAGTCCCCTACTGGTGAAACCGGAGGGGACTATAGGTTTCCTCTGAGTCTGTCCGTCCGTCTGTCTGTCTGTCTGTCTGTCTGTCCCTCTGCCTGTCTGTCAGTCTGTCCCACTTGGTTTTCCGCACTTTTTTCTTAAACGCTTGCAGATATTGAGCTGATTTTTGGTATGTGAGTGTATCTTGATGAGTTACACAGATCAAGTTTGCATTTCGTTCCGCTTCATTGATTTTTGACGGAATTACGTCCTTTTCAATTTTTACGGGTTTTCCGCCATTTTCCTCCAAACGCTTGTAGATAATGAGCTGATTTTTCGTATGTGGCTTTACCTTGATTAGTTATAGATCAGGTTTGCATTTCGTCCCGCTTCATTAATTTTTGACGGAATTATGGCATTTTCAATTCAGATTACACTTGCCGGTAGGGGACTAGTATTGCTAATGCAATACTCTCAGAATGCTTGTTTTGCTTGTAAGGAAATTTTGAAGTTCGATATGTTTCTTTCTGAAGAGATACTTTTTCCTTTTTCGTGTACATGATTCTCCGTCATTTTATTCATTAAGACGATATATATATTCAACGCATTAACTGTCCAAATAAAGAGGGGTGTCTGATATGGATGCGTTAATTAAATTGCTAAAGAGTTAACATTCGGTTTTTGAGGAGTTAAAATCGGCCAACCACTGCTTTGCCCACGTATTTAAAAACGCATTTCCAATACATAATTATACATAAAATAATCGGATCAGGTTATCCAGGGGCCCTTTCACAAAAGGACTTACGACTAAGACCAAAATTTAATTCTGCTGTTAACGTTCTAATTTATATCAAATTGAAATTTTTATAATCTTTTAAAAAGAAATGTAAAAAGATATTTTTACCCCAGCAATTTTAAACAGAATCATTAATTTTGCAAAATTTTACAATTTACTAAAGTTTTTGGTCTTAGTCGTAAGTTCTTTTAATTGTAAAACAGGCCCCGGGACACTAAAAATGTTTGGGGCATTATTTAACAATTCCCGTTCCTTTTCTACAGATGTAGAAAACTGAGTAATAGATTTCTTTCTTACCCATCCCCCCTTTATATTAGTGCCCCCCTCCCTCTTCAAAATAGCTATGTGTTATTTTGTTTGAAGTTTGGTGTTTTGTTTTCAAGAGGATATACATCCTCCCCTCCCCCTATAAACATTGCTTAATTCGCCCCTTTTAAAATGTTAAGAATAGCTAAAGCTCTCTTTTGTCACCAGTTTGATTTCTCCTATCATTTTTGCATAACCGCCTCCTATTGACCTTTTATGAATGTATTTCACAAGTCGTTCTTAGATTAGGCTTAATAAAATGTTACATGGTATGACTCTGATTGCGTGATGACACAAGGGCAATTAAAGTAGCAGTGCAGAAATATATTTTGTGATTGAGAATTTAGGAATGAAGAAAATATATCTGAGAAATTCCTTTGTAGATATTAAATTAAGGTAGTCCGATCCTCAGGTACAGAAAATCAGCTTTTAAGTAATGGAAAATGCTCACAAAAATGTCTCTGTTTTCACATAGTAACGTGAAATTACCCATGGAATTTCTTCAAAGTTCATCATTATAGTTAATCATATTAAATAGGGAAAATTATCAAATCTCAAATATATTCTTAGGAAATGCGAATAAAAACACAAGCTATGCATTTTTTAATTGAAAATTGATCAACAAATATAATTTAGGATAGAAAAGTATAGGTATCCACACATTTGGAGAAAATTGCATCTTTTTTATGCTTATACAGTATTGTTCTTTTTTTACTTCAATTATCATATAATACATAGTGTAAAAAGCTTGTGCTATCATTGCTAGACATCACATATCATGTCTAATTTCATATCATGCTAATAAGCTTTGGTATCTAAAACTAGTCTAAAGGAAATTCAATTTCTCTAAAAATGAATTCATTTTTTTTTCTTTTATGGGGTACAAATGTCAACTTTTTACAAAACCGTTTCTAAGACTTCAAAGAACCTTGAATCATATTAAGATGCATAAAATGAAAATTGTTGCATGAAAAGATTTCAATCCAAGCTTCATTTTGAAACTTTTTAAATAAAATAATAAATTTGAGAGTTATCCTTCATGGCTGAGGATCAGATATCCTTAAAAATTAACTGATGCCTTATTAAGAGAAAGATTGCAGTCTCAGTCCTATGGTTTCTGCATTAGAAAACAATAATATTCTGCCTGACAGAGTAACAAAGACTACCAATTAAGCTTAGCGCTTTTCAGTATTTTTTATTTAATGTTGTTATTTTGTTGCTTTTATAAGGTCCAAGCATGCGTGTTGAAGATATCGCAATAGGCAATATCATCTATTAGCAATGGGCAGTTGGCTGTCGTATATGGAATTCCATTGACTTTGACCATTGCTTATCGAAATCTAACGTTGTACAAAACGATATTTATAGCATTCATTTATTTCTCCAGAAAATATCTAACTTTTGACAATACTGATAACATTATTATAGGAAAAAATGAAGCTTATTATTTTTGCAGCTAACAAAAATAAATTATCTAACACTATTTCATTTTTAAAGGTATAACAATGTATCATTGTCAAATCAATCACATAAAACATGAGTATGACGTAACCTATCATTCATATAAATACCAATATATAAAAGACATGCAATTGAATTTTCGCTAATCAAAATTCAGTTAATTACAAAATTCTACAATCAAAGTCCATAATACAGCGTTCATCTTAATCCACCTTTAATTTCCGTCAAGTGTCTTAATGGATATTGTCATGACGTCAGCAATGTCCCTGTCTGAAAAATAAGTACTAAAATGAATGAAACGATTCGAAACATGAAAAAGAATTACATTTTTTTAAAATAAAAAATAAGTTAATGAAAAAAGGGTATTAACAAAAGGCCCATGAGCCACAACGCTCATCTGAGTCACTATGGTCCTGCTGTTCTTTGACCACCATTGTGGTCCCCCCCCCCCCCGGCCGGAGGTCATGATCGATTTAATTGAACAAATTTGAATTTACACTATCCGAAGATGTTTCAGTATAAATATGACTAAGCATGCTTTGCTATTCTTGGGAGAAAAAAATTACAGATTTTCCCTATATTTTGTTATGTAAAACTTTGATTGCCCATTCTGGCTCCACCCTACCCCAGGGGTCACGATAAAACAAAACTGAATCTACATGTACACCACCTAAAGATGCCTTCATTTAAATTTGACTAATCACGGCTTTGCTGTTCTTGAGGAAGATTTTAAAAGATTTTCCCTTTATATTCCTACGTTTAACTTTCATCGCCCAGTGTGGCCATACATTACCCCCGGGGGTCATAATTTGAATAAAATTGAATCTACACTATCTGAGTGTGTTACCATATAAATATGACTGATGATGAATTTTCTGTTCTTGAGAAGAATACATGTATTTTGAAAGATTTTTTTAAATATATTCTCATGTAAATTTAAACCCATTATGGCTCATTTTAACCCCGGGGGTCTTGATTTGAACAAATTTGAACCTATGCTTCCTGAGGATGCTTCCATATCAATATGACTAATCATGGCTATGCTTTTTTTTAATAAAAAAAAATTTCCTTTATATTCCCATATAACACTTTGATCGCGAAATGCGGCCCCACCCTACCATCGGGAGACATGATTTAAACAAACTTGAAACTACACGACCTGAGGATGCTTACATAATAAATATGACTAATCATATCTTTGCTGTTCTTGAGAGTAAGATTTTTAAAGATTTTTTATTATATATTCCTATGTAAAACTTTCACCGCCCATTGTGGACCCATTCCAGGGGAGGGGGTCATGACTTGAAGAAAAAAAAAATTGAATCTACACTGTGCAATGAAGCATTCATTAGTTTAATCTTTTCTGGCTCAGTGGTTCTTGAGAAGATTTTTAAAGATGTCATTAAATTTTCGCTAATTCTTTATTATCTCCCTTGACAGAGGGCATGGCCCTCCATTTGATGAAATCTGAATTTCCTTCAACCAAGAATGCGTTGTGGAAAAGTTTGGTTGGGATTGGTCTTGAGATTCTGGAGAAGAAGATATAAATGTGAAAAGGTTTATGACAACGACAAACAACGGACAAATTTCGATCAGAAAATCTCACTCGAGCCTTCGACCCAGGAGAGCTAAAAAACGCTCTTTTTGTGCAAAATTTAGGATATAAAAAGCATACCTGAAAATTTATTAAAGCTAGTTTGTAACATATTTAATACTGAACAAAAAAAATGTAGAAAATATACGTACTGTTTTGAAAACTACATTTTGTTGTGCTTGGACAATAGAAATATTGTTTTGTGCTGTTCTGTTCCTGTGGACAACCATGTCCTGGAACTGCAAACGAGGAGCCCATCCAAAAAACATCGTTAGGACAGCCACCATAGTTATGCCATATCTGGAAATTTCTCCAGGAATACTGACTGCAATGATAGAGACATATCTGATGAGAATATATATACCTATTTACTAGTAAGGCCGTGGTAAATAATATCTTTGTTTTACGTCCCTTTATTCTTTGAAAAGGTATCCCCAGTCCGACTAAGAAACAAATATATTTCAAAATACATATTCAATAATTAGCAAAATATAAATGAGAAAGAACTCTGTTACAAATTGTATTTTTTATTTTCAAGTTAACGTTCTTTAATCATGTCAAAAACTGAGTTTCACACAAGAGCATTAATATGATACAATACGCTTGAATTAATAAATTTCTTTAAAATTTTGCTTTTTTACTTTGGATTTTTGATTTTTTCTTTTTCTCTCAAAGATTAAGAATATTTAGATTTAAAAATCAAACAGAATGTTTCCGAAAAAAAAGAGAAAATTGGTGAAAATTTGAAGAACATTTAAAAAAAAAATACCGCATTTTGCTGAAAACCTATACCCGCAAAAGAATTTATTTACTGTGGCCTTATTAGGCCCATAGCAAGTTTCAGATTAATGTACCACTAAATAACCGGACGATTGATTGATTGATTGTATGTTGTTTTACGTCCCGTTTGAGATTTTTTCACTCATGTACATGTATAGAGACGTCACCATATACCGGTGAAGGGCTTCAAATTTAGACCTTTACTCGGCGCTCAGGGCTATTGAGCAGTGAGGGATCTTTATTTTTATCGTGCCAACCCGTGCCGTGACACGGGGCCTTGGTTTTAAAGTCTCATCCGAAAGACCCGCAATTTACACTTCAAAGTGTCGAACGCTTAGCGAAGGAACAGTTGCTACCTATTTTTTTTATCACTTAGGTCAGTCGCGGCCGGGGCTCGAACCCACGACCTTCCGATCACGGGGCGAGCGCTCTACCGAATGAGATCGTGATGGTCTTATAACCGGACGAAAAGAAACTTTCAGAAACTAGTCAGATGTACTAGATAAAATAGAAACATGACCGAAATTGAAAAGAAATCAAGGAGGACAGACAGCATCAAACATTTTCAAAGTAAACATAGTTTTTTCCCAGCAGATTTTCATCTGAGTTGACACTAGTTCTATAGATTTTATAAAATTAGGTCTACAAAAATAATAATCATTATTGCCCAGTTAATCTTTTCTTATATAATTAAAGCTTTACATTCTAGGATATAGTAAAATTCGTCAGCAATTTGAGCATTATTACAGTGAACAAAGTCTTTCTTTTAGTGGTATACCTTGTCATCTTTGAGTTTTTGCTGGAAGACGATGATTTGCTTTAGGAAAGTAAAAAAAATTCTCGAGAGGAAAATATCTAATAATTAATATAAAGGAAGTAGGTAAATATAATTACTTATTTTGTGGTTATAATTATTTATCCCCCCAGCAAGGATTTAACAGAAATGGCCTGATTTGAACCTGACAAATAAAAGAATAGCTCGTGTAGTCATTTATATTATTGAGAGCTATCTCTCTTAACAGTTTGCTCATTAGCTGGGGGTGTCGGTGTGTGGAGGCTATTTTTTGGTATGAGGAGACAATCGATCTAGAGCACCTTATAATTCTTGCATTGAAGCGGCTTCACTCAAATACATGTATAGTCGACGCTACATTATTAACTACTTGTTTCATCACCAAGAAATTTTTATCTCCTTAGATGATGTACAAAAAAGAAATATGAATAAAATAAACTTGTTAAATATTAACATGGCCGTAGGAACCGGGGGGGGGGGGGGCACGTAATAATTTTGCCGATATATAGAATACTATAAGAAAACATAGCTACTGTATGATGCTTGTGCCCCCTCAATAAAAACGTCTGATGACCATTTTTCCCTGGTTGTCAAGGAATTTTTGGTAGTTGATAGTGCCCCCAACTGAAAATATGGCTGCATGTGCCCCCAAAATGAAATTGTTTCCTACGGGCCTGAATAATCATCATTTAGTCTATTGAGTGTGTAATTATATTAACCCGTTCGTGTCTCCTTGGATAGAGAAATAGTTGTACGACTGTGTCGGGGTAACATCAGCCCAAGAGCTTGACAGGATTCGGTCAGGCATGAACCAGCTCGTTTTTGTTGTGTCTGTCCCATTGAAAACCACCTCTGCCACTTTCGTACTACTTTTGTGCAATTGGACTCGTACCTTTGGAAAATGAAACACATTTTTCACAGCTATGTTTTATTTTATGATAAGTTAATTTCGAAGGGAAAAAACATCTTAAAGAATATTTAAAACAAATCAACTTTCGGCAGTTGGCTTGGTTTCCATTTTCCGGTCTATGGCTGAGCGACGGACAAATGACAGTTTAGTACCCAATACAATAAGCTACATGTAATTCAGATAATTAAGATACTCCACTTCAGGACAGAAACAATTTGCAGCAATAAAGAGATTTGTGACTTTGATCTCTAACCCTTTCATCTCAAAATTAAGAGGAATAATAATATATAACCTTTTGTCCTAAAAATCAATCGGGGTCTTCTTTGTGTCATGTAGATTTAAGTTATAAAATTCCATTGCAAAAATCTAAAGGACTCTGAGAGATATCATCAAACAAATAAAGTGTACCATTTTATACCATAAACTGTATGAATTTATGACCTTGATTTTTCACCTTTTGGGCTCGAATCAATAGGGGTCTTCTTAAGGTAGAGAAAGTCACCACCTTGAGTTTCATTGCACATGCCCAATTATTATCTTTAAACCACTTTTTGCTATACATGCATGGAGTTTGGACTTGATCTTAGACTTTTAACTTAAAAAATAGGGATCTCTCTTAAGTTAGAGTAATCAATGAAAATTTCATTGCTAAAGATCTAAGAAAACAACAGTTTTCATCACAATACCAAATATGCAATATACGAATTTTTGACCTTGAACTTTGACCTCAAAACAAATAGTTGAAGTCATCACCTTAAGTCCAAAGAGAAGTACAGTCATGATACATGCAATTTATGAATTTGTGACTGACCTTTTTTGGACCCTAAAATCAAAAGGGTCTTCTTCAAGTCATACGGAGCCATAGGATATTTATAGAGATATCATCCGGAAACAAACCTGTTACAGACAGAATGACAGACAGATCCAACTTAAAATTTGAAAGCGGGTGGGGGGGGGGGGCAAAAATGCCAAAGATGTGAGTGAGTGACAACAAGAAACTCCATTTTAGGCGAATACATATACAAATTTACTTGAAATTTATAAGATTGCAATTTTACATGTAGTAACAAGAGGCTCAAGGCCCTTAACGATATAACACAACTCTGTAAAGGACCAATGGAATGGCAGTTTATAAAATTAAAGACTGATAAATGAATATACATATTTCTCAAAACAGGAAAATACAAGAAGTATAGAAGAAGCACTTCTTACTAATTATAACCATACACTTAGTTTGTCGGCTAAATACCCAGAAGTAGAGAAGATCTTCAAAGAATTAATGCATTTTCACTATATATGATCAATGGAGCCCCGGCCTAACACCATTTAAGTTTATAATAGCCTTTCTCTTGTAGTTAAGTTCTTCTCTGTAAAATTTGAAACCATTACATTTTCAACGAAATATTTTCAAATTTTGTACATGTACATTTTGTACATTTGCACTTGACTGTAAGATCAAGACACCTATAAAGTTTATGGTCTTATTAATCATAAATGTGGCTGTCTTTCTGTATGTTTGTATTTATATATATACATATATCTCTGATACTTTTGCTGTGACGTGTTAACTCAAATAGTTTTCAACACAATGTTTTTCAATTTTACACAGAAGAACGGCCATCTTTAAAAAATTGTCTGTTTGTCGACCGACTGGGTAAAAATGGTCCGACTCAAAACTTTTTTTAACCTCCAGGAAACGATATTTTTTTCTTTATTCCTGAATTTTCTCATCCCTTCAATATGTATGTTGAAATTTTCTAGAATAAAAAATTCCCACCTACCTACTGACCCATTTTTTTTTTACCCTGAGTCGGGAGAGGGCAAACAAACATTATTTTAAAGATGACCTAAGTTGTTATAAATTTAAGGGTCATACATGTATCACTTTGTCTGTCTGTATATCTTAAAGTCCTTTAACAACCTTTAGCGGGGCCTTCTCTGACTAAGTCAATTTTCGATTTTGATGATCATAATTATTACATCAAATTTATTCAGAATAATACTTAATTACAACTTCAAGCTTCACCAATTTCAATACCATACAATAAACTATTCTTAACTTGTCATAAGAATGCAATGGCAAATAAAATATATAGGGCTTATAAAAAATAGAAATTAAGAAAATAAAACATTTCATAAAGGACATTGATTTGTTCTTATCGAATTTTTCCACTTTATTAAGTTGTGATGTCATTTTCTTCTTCGAACTCCTCACTGAGTAAATATTCAGTATAAAAATGATGAAGGAAACCAGATATTATTTGTAAAGTGATGAATAATACTTTATTGCCTTAAACAGATATGGCCCAGTTCTTAGCTATCACGGCAGTTAAATGATTGACAGAATCAATAAGCAGTCCATTTTATTAATTAGACCGAGCTGAAATCACATGGACTCTGCTTTAAAAGCCCGATGTTCTTATAACATGTAACATTTTATGCACATTGTAAGAATTGTCCGCAATGAATGCCATAGAGTTTATATTTCAAGACGTAATGTATTAAGGAGATGGGCGAACATAGCGTGCAGAAAGCCTATAGCTTCAGATATTTAAAAATCATGTTCAGTTTGTGAATTCAGTATTTAGAGTAAAGTTCTCATTATTGAAATTTATGAAATTATGATAAACAAAACTTTTCTGAGGAAAATTTTCTCTGCAAAATTTATTCTTTTATTAAAAAAATTAATGTGGTATTCGTGGGTTCGAACCCTAGCAATAAAAATCCTGAGTATTATTTTCTTTCGAGACTAGCACGCTAACCACTAGACTACACAAGTCCTGATGAATAGTGGCATTTAAATCATGTTTGTGATATGACCCTTGACTTAATGGACTTAAGTATTTCTCGAAAAGATGCGAATGTTATGTCATAAAAGTATATTTTTAAGGTATAGTGGGTCATTGCTCCATATTTTTGGTAACCGAAAAATGTATATTTTTATGCAAACTTTGAGGATTAACTTTCAAAAAGGTGGAGCGAAGACCCACTCATATCGAAAAATAGTATTATAGTATGAGAAAATGACTCTTTTTGCCCGCTTTAGTGTGTATCTAATATTTCACAGGCAAATAATTTCAATCTTTGAGGGATTTTTGCAAATTACAGAGATTTTACATAAAGTATAATTTAATGTTAGACGAAATATCAAGGAAAATTTTGATATATTTGAAATTTAATTTTTCATCTTCATGTTTGTCACACTATAGGCTTATCGCTCGTCATGTTCACCCATCTCCTTTACATGTTGGCAATGAAAAGAATTATTTTAATAAAATGCTTAATTTTGGTTTCAGGTTACACACAATATCTAGTAAAGAGGCATAACTAACAGTAATAAAGCAAAGGGAAAAACATGGAGATGATGTGAATCATAATAAATAGCAAATTTGCTTTTAATGTCGTTTTTTGACTGCAATCACGAAAACGTACTCAATTTAAAATGTATGAAATACTTAGCAACATACTTGTGAAATATTCATCGATTCCCATTGGTCAATTGCAGATGTTCTATAATCTGAAGTACACAAGGGGGACTTTGCTGTAGTGGCACATTGGTCGTCGTCAAAATTCTCGTTAGTTTCGTCGCTGGTACCGTAAGTAATGAACGACTGATAGTCCGACGTGTTCAATCCAGTCTGACTTCGATAAATCAAAATCCATCCCGAAGATTCCTTATCTAAAGCAGAACCACCAAAGAAATCTTCATTTTTTATTTCAAATAATCTGTAAAATTAGTAAATTCAAAACAAATTAAAATAGAAATCCAATATAGACCTTACATTACATAAATCAAAACAAATGAAATACATGTATGTTAATTATTGAAGTTAGTGGGGATGTAGTAACGCGGTTGTATGTGTGTGGGTGAGTGTGTGCATGCGTAATGGGAGTACGGAAATATTGGGATCGATGTGCTCTTTTGCGAGGGATGTTTCGCTTTGCCGTGCCCAATTGTTAAAAAAACTATTACAGAACATTAATAAATATTACAGCTAATTATTTCACTCGACCTCTTTTCATCCTTTTCCTTATTGTTAGATTTGTAATACTTGTAATTATTGTACATAAGAAATGACTTTAACACATTTCTAACACTGGGAGTTTGTACTTACATGTAATAATGAGCTTTGAAGCATGTGAAGTCTAGGTTTAGGATCGGTGTTTAGTTCATCTTTTATTCTGCAAATTTTTCCAGATTTATCTTTATTCATACTGATTCAGGCACATGATAAGCGAACAGTTTGAAAACAATAGAAATTTCTTTTGAGGTCAAGGCTCAATTATCGTGGAATGCCTAGTAATTTCTAAATAAATCTAATTTCATAGCGGAATCATACTTTTAATATAAAGGCAATTCAAACTGTACAAAAGTCATGAAAGTGATGGTTTCAACCTCGCTTGTATGAGGCGCCGTTTTGGTATTTACTCTTAAACAGACTTTATAAAAGATTCTCTGGACTTGTTGAACTTAATTTGAGCCACATTCTCTACTATTTCGGCACTGATTGATCAAATGAACTGAAAATTCGCTGTAAGATCTCATTTTTTGCACAAAAAGGGGGGAGGGGGGCACTGTTAGATTTGAATAGGTGATATCACTTATTCGAATAGGTGATATTGCCATTTTAAATCAAATAAGTGATATATCACCAATTCGATTAGGTATCACCTACTTGAATAGGTGATATAACATTCGAATAAGTGATATCAGCAATTCAAAAGTTGAAAAGGTGATATCATCAACTGGAATCGGTAATTGAATAGGTGATCTGACTTTTTTTGAATACTAGGTAATATCCCTTAATGGTAGTAAATATCAAATCGGCCCCTCACACGCATGCGCAGCCAAAATCAAACATAGCCCTCACTTTTCACAAACGATATTAATATTTTTTTTCTTGAATGTATACAAGTCATCAAAAAAGAAAAAGAAACGCTATGGACAAAATAAAAATACATAGATATCATGTTTGGATTTTGATTTATTTGATATACGAGGGCTGTTCGGAAAATATTGAGACATTGTTTATATTTTTCTTTCTAATCAACGTCGTTCGTTGAAAATTTGCATATACATTTGCCAGACACTAAGAATTAATAAAAGCAAGAAATATTTTACAAATATTTCATTTTTTCTTTTCAATTAGATATTAATGTGTCAGTGGTAGGGGTACCCGGCGCAGTTACGAAATCAGATTTTGAAAATACGTAACACCAACGTTCAAATTCCCGATGGACCCATAGTAAGAGCGAAAATAATTCAATTTATGTATATAATTTTTCTATTTTTCTTTGACTTCATTCTTTGCAAGTTTGTTAGAATTTCGATCAGAAATTCGGCGTTCATAAGAAAATTAAGCGGAATAAAGAAATCTGTTAACGACGACAAAATGGATTTTGACGTCAAGGCGGCGCAGCGAGCATACCTAAAATTTTGTGTAGCGAAGAGAACTCTTTTCCAGACTGAAAGACCTGCTTAAACAATAACAATGAGAAAAACATGTCTTAGGGTTTGTTTTTTTCATTTACATATATTTTTTTTTCTTACCAATAATTCAACCAGAGTAAAAGCAAAAGCTCCGGACGACCATCAATTATTACGGACTAAATAACGTTGACCCGCGTTGCATAAATCGGTACTGCATGATGCTAAGTCAACCTCTATGACACATGTATATTTTACACTGGGATAGCAAAAGCACACATTTAAAAAAAAATACAGAATCGTTTAAGAAAAGAGACAGTTTGGTTTTTGGAATGTTATATGTGATAACAGAGAAAGAAGAGTAAACGCTTCCCGATCTTTTCACATGCGAAAACTTCTCCGGCTGACGTGACGTTAAAATGACGTAGCGATGCTGCTCCGGGTCGATAGACATATGCATGTTTATAATTTTACCGGAACTTATCTAATTATCCTATAAATAAGAAATTTTGCACATTTTGTTGACGAATTTTCATGAATTTAGCACTGTCCTTTATGGAGTTAAAGTAAATGTCTCAATAATTTCTGAACAGCCCTCGTAGAGGTTTCCTACAATTGTTTCTTACGTCGTAGAAACGTACGAGGTCAAATTCGCTGTAAACCGTTAAAAAAATCGCATTTAGTTCTTTTTTAAGTTTAATTGTTTTAGAATTGTTTTTGTTTAGTATTCTCAAACCAGAAACAACTCACAACATTTAAAGTCTGCAGTGATATTCTTATTCAGCCCTCGGTCTTCACAAATCACTTGACTTAAGCTCTTATATCCAGTCTTGCATTCCATCGAATTTCTGAACAGGAGGATGCCACCATTATAGATAGCATTTTTAATTTTTGGCACTTCACAACCTACAAATAATAATTGTTTAAAGGCATCTGTATTTTTCACACTGCGGTTATATGTATAACACTAATGATTTTTTCATGTGTGTCATATCGGTGAAAAATGTTTTACATATATTGAAATGTATTGCTATAACCATTTCTAGACTTGAACCCCTTTACGGATATCAAACACATATACAGATTTACACTAAAAAAATTGTAAATCGAAAAATCGAAAATTTTGTTCTTAGACCAACAAATAAATTTCTGGGAGATAACGACAGTAATTAAGAAGTGTTTAAGTTTAGAGGATAAATCTCCAGGTGACTTACCTGTCCGTACACACCTAGGACCAGAATGTGTTAGAACACACCTCTGAAGACTGGAACACTGCATTGTACCACAGTCTCCAGTGTCCTAGAGAAATCAAAGATTGAATAATAAAACTTGGTTAGAAAGTGTGTGTTTTATTTAATTGTTATACTAGTCCTTAATAAATTTGAGATTAAACCGGGAATGACCAGTCAGTATACTATTTGAATTAGTTTCTAAGGCGACTCTCACATTACGAATTGAAAACATATATGAAATGGCAAATAACACATGCAATTACTGGCAAAATAGACGTAAGATATATATATATATATATATATTCGATGAATTACCGTTGAGACATACTTCGTACTTTTGAACCGTTTATATCTTAAAAGGCAACGGCTTGACAGTTTCCTCTCAAATTATTCTATTATAAGAATCAAAATATTTACCAATGTAGCACAATCGATTTTCTATCTGTGAGGATTGGCTTTGAATTTAATAACGTTTCATTATAGAAAATAATACTGTGTTTCATTCATTAAATTCAAATTGTTAGCAAAATTGCTTAATTGTTTTCTTTGTTGATATCTGAATACATCAGAAACTCCACATGCATTCAATAGTGGTGAAAATATCAAATGTATTTGTCTAATATATAAAATAATTGGCTTCATTGCCATTTAAAAAATTAAACAGGTTTCAGTTATTGATCACCCATTGGTTTATAATTGATGTATAATTATTTCTGTAACATATGCCTTAATATAGAAGGAGGCATATCGAAGTCCGCTTATCCCCCATACTGTTCGTTCGTGTGTCCATCTATTCAATAGTTTGTGTGTGTGTTCGTTCCCATATATGGTTTTTACGACCCTTCCAAGGGAATGAGGTAAAGGTCATTAATTAAAGGCCCGTAGGAAGCAATTTCAGTTTACTGAGGGAGCACAACAGTCCTGTACAGCAGGAAATTAACTCACAGAGTTAATATTCGCTATACTCGCGGAAATAAAAATTCAGCGAATTCAACATACAGTGAATAATTCTTCAAAAATTGATAAGGATAAATTGAAATATTACCGATATCTGTTATTAGATTCGTTAACTCTATCTGTGTTTCCTTGCAAACATAAAAGCAGTAATTAATATAGTGGAGATCTATGTAGACTGTCTTCCTTATAACACGGGTGTACGGATCAATCACTAACACGTAGTTGTTGGTTTTTTTTAAAGCTTAATTGATAAATAAACATCTATAACTATCATTTAACTCTGCCACCTAGTAGAGGTGCGATGTAATTATCTATAAATCATGTATTATTAAATTTCACCCGTGCGTATCACTCAATCTTATTATCTTTAATCAATGCACTTACGTAGTAAAGACAATACTGTTACACATTAATTAAATTTTATTAACAGTTCAACATTTTGGCTATTGGTACTGGCAACTGATTTAGATTCAGAGGGATTTAAAGATACTACAGTAAATACTACTTTGTACTCTACTCAAACATACCTATGAACGAACACCTGCCAAAGGGCTTCTTTTTTTACAGAAATGTTTTGGATACGACTTGAAATTACTTGAATAAATCACTCGAGTATAGACTCATATGTATTTCAAAAATATTAAATAAAACAAAAGAAAGAAAGAAAACAAGAGAAAGAAAAAAAGAAAATTTATATGAATGCGTAACATTGTAAATCGTACAACACTTTGTCTTCTAATCGGGATCAGTACGGTGTTTCGTTCTATTTAATCGGGTTCAGAATCGACACAATACACAAGGAAAATAGTTGCAGTGCTGAAAAAGTTTTATGTATAATTTTTTATTTCCGCGAATTCAGACAAACGACCGCGATTTGCTGCAAGTTGAACAAATCGCGATCTTTTAACCTGCTGTACAGTAAACGAGACTTTCTCCAACTCGGCAAACCTCGTGTCTTTTGACAATTAAAAAAGATTAAGGAACTCGAGTTGAAGAAAACCAATAATTGACGCTGGCGAGCAAATATTAAGGCACACTTTTCTACCTTTAAATAAAATAAAGTTTCTTTTATTTATGTGTACATTATTACGTCAGCAAATCACTTGCAAACCTATATAACATTGGATAATGTCAAAATATCGAATCACAGTATGGAAGTAATGGGTACTGGGGTAAATCGAAGGATGTTTCCAAAAAAAAAAAAAAAAAAAAAAATACAAACGCACTCACAAAAAGTTTACATTAAGTATTTTTAAAAAAAATCCAACATACTTAAGACTATAAAAGGACAAGGTATTGTAACGGCCGAATCGGGCCCCTTATTTGATGTAAAAATCAGAACACAGTTATAATTGTGATAGTTTGTAGTTAAGAACTTAAATGATGCTTGTTTGAAAACCAGCACTAATTTTGATTCAAAGCTTACACGAAGGCCACAAGATGGTGCAGAAGTAAGACATTTTCCCGAATTTCCTCAATTCTGGTCAAATTTTGTCAAATTTAAGACACTTTTCACTTCGAGAAACATAGAGCACAAGCTTGCCTATTTGAGATTTTTATACATAAGATGCATCTGATACTAGTGTATGAAATATATAAATTTGGTAGATAGGCAAGCTTGTGCTCTATTTTTTCTGAAACAAAATGTGCTGTAAAATCAATGAAAATTTGCATAAAAATGAGAAAATTCGGAAATTGACATATTTTCTAACCTTCCTGTGACCTCTGTGTATCCCATAATCATTAGAACCAATACTCATTTTGTGGCAGGGGTGACAACAGGTTTTTAATTGATAAACTTTTGCATCATTCTAAAAGACACCCAAAACCAGGGGCCAAAAAGGGGTCTTGGCCTATCTTGTCTTTTAAGCAGTCTTGAAGTATCATCATGTAATGTTAAAGTATCAGCATATAATGTTGAAGTATCGTCATATAATGTTAAAGTATCAGCATATAATGTTAAAGTATCAGCATATCATGTTGAGGTATCATCATATAATGTTAAAGCATCAGCATAAAACGTTTAAGTATCAGCATATAATGTTTAAGTTTCAGCATATAATGTTTAAGTTTCAGCATATAATGTCAAAGTATCAGCTTATAAGAGTAAATTTAAAACTTCTACAAATGGGGGTCGGATTTTTACAATTTAATAAAAAATATGTATTCCAAAAGCAGGTTACATATTCAAATAGGAAATTATTTAACAAAACCTTTCTATACTCAACTGGGTGTAAGACAAGGGGACAATCTTAGCCCAAATCTATTTAAAATATTTATTATTGATCTACCAAATATGTTGTCTAGTACACCGGACCCTGGTACACTTAATAATTTAGAAATACATTGTCTATTGTATGCTGATGATGTTGTTCTGTTATCAACCTCAGCCAATGGTCTTCAACAAAAGCTAAACACATTAGATGAATTTTGTCAAAAATGGTGTTTAAGTGTAAATGTTGATAAAACAAAAGTCTTAGTTTTTAATAAATCTGGTAAATTGTTGAAGAATAAATTTTTATCGAATAATAGTATACTCGAAAATGTTACTAATTATAAATATCTTGGTGTTTATTTCACTGCATCAGGTACTTTTTCGCAGGCTAAAGATGCATTGTACAAAAAAGGTTTGAAATGTTATTTTAAGTTATGTAAAGATATTTTAGCATTTCATCCTCCTGTTAAAACTAGTCTACATATTTTTGACCATACAATTAAGCCAATACTGTTATATGGCAGCGAAATATGGGGTGTGTTTAGTCTTCATCACGATTCAGAAATGGTATCTCAATTGACAATGTATATAATTTTTCAGAACCTGATAAGCTACATTTGAAGTTTTGTAAATTTATACTGGGTGTTCATAAGAAAAGTGCAAAATTTGCAGTAATGTCAGAACTTGGAAGATTTCCGTATTATATTGATATCATAAAATCAATGTTATTATATTGGCATAGATTGGAAAATTCTGATAACAATTCTCTTCTGTTCAATGCTTTTATCAATTCCAAAACACTTAGTACAAGTAGAGACTCCTGGTTCTCTTGTATACTTGAATTTTTGAATGTTTTAGAAATATCAAAAAATGCCTCCTCTTTGAGTCTATCTAAATTCAAAATTGTCACCAATAATCAAATCCGCAAAAAGTTTATTTGCTCTTGGTTCAACTCTAAAGAAAAAAGTTCTTCTGGAAAACTGGATTCTTATGTAAAGCTTAAGAGTAATTTCCAATGTGAAGAATATTTAACATTACTGAATAACTTTAACTTTAGAAGGGGCATAACCAGATTAAGAATATCTTCTCACAGGCTAAAAATTGAAACTGGTAGATATATTGGACTAGAAAGAGATAAAAGAATATGTGAAAAATGTAATTTGAATGTAGTGGAAAATGAAATACATTTTACCATAGATTGTCCTTTTTACAAAGAAAAAAGAACCAAACTTATAAATGAAGCACAGAAACATAATAAAAGTTTTAATATCTTAGATAGTTCTCAAAAATATTTTTGGATCATTACATGTGAAAATATGAATGTTTTACTTCAACTTGGAAACTACCTCTCTAATCATTTAATATGACATTGTAAAGCACAACAACTTGCTATGTATGTATTTTACTTTAACATTTTTTAAAAAATTTATCTCCTTATTGATAATGTACTGCCTTTGTCTACTAATGTATCTTTCATGCCTCTCTGGGGACCCTTGATTGGAAAAAATAAATATCGTCTATAATGAATGATCTCCACATAATGCAGCGGAGGCGTCCCACAGTACACGACCAAATGCACACGGTTAAGTCTGGTTTGTGATTAAGAAAATCAAAGATTACTTTTAAATCTTAGCCTTGATCGCATTATTGACCATCCACGTTTATTGATAATTATAGCCCTGTTTTATGAAATATTTACATATTTAATTAGAATTTTATCTGATGAAGGGAATTTTCAAATAGAAAATGATATGTTAGACAGGAATATGCTCCAAAGATTAGTTATCTCGACTGTACATAAACCTTTGAACATGACATCTTAGTCCAGAAACCATGCTTCTTGTTTCTGCTGTCTATAAATGGGGATAAGTTAACTCGACTGTATAGGATCCTAA